TGCGCCTATAGCATCTGGTCTTCCTAAGTGGTCTCCCATCCAAGTACTAACCAGGCCCGACCCTGCTTAGCTTCTGAGATCAGACAAGATCGGGCATGTTCAGGGTGGCATGGTTGTAGACTGTCACTCATCTTTTGACTTTGCTTGTTGTGTTTTTGCTTAGGAATTTTTTTTATTCTTAAGAATGTGGACCTGTCATTTCTTTTTATGACTCCTGGGTTTTGTCTCAAGAATGTGTTCCCCATTCCAGGATTATAAAAAACTGCTCTGTGGTGTCATTTGGTGATTATATGTTTCCACTTTTTTAACATTTAAATTTTTTATCTTTTTGGAAGTTATTTCGGGGTATAGTGTGATCTTACATTGTTCTTCTTAGATGGCCTCCCACTGTTCCCGACTCTATTGAGTGATCCACTCTAATTTAAGATGCCACTTTTATCATATACTAATTTTGTTATGTATTTAGATCTGTTTCTGAGCTTTTTATTTACTTTCACTTATCTCTCTGGTCTTATACCAGTATCATAGTGCTTTAAACGCTACAGTTTTATACTATATTTTAATCAAGATCTTTATATCGCGAGTCTCTGGTTCCCGAGTCCTGAGTAGGGGAGCGCGAGAGGACAGAGGCACCCAGGGCGTGTCAGGCACTGTGCTTATTGTAACAGCCATGGCCATCACGAGCATGAACTCAGATCATATTGGGCACTGACTCTATGTATCAGGCGCTTTCACACAGTATTTTATTTACTCTCTATAATAATCCTGTTCATCCAATATTTATGCCCACTTTTAAGAATTATACCACTAACATTTAGCAAGCATTTACTATTTTGGTTGCCAACCACTGTGCTGAGCACTTCATTTGCATTTTCTCATTTATTTCCCCCAATCCCCGCTCAGGTAGGCACTCATTCTCCCCATTTCGCATCTCAGGAAACCTACCCCGTTAAGCAGCAGAGCTGGGATGCGACTGACAGATAGGATTCAAGTGTGGCCCTAAGCCCTGGCTAGTCGTTTGCCATTTGGGCCATAGAATTCAGATTCCAGCCACCCCCAAGAAGCCAACCTGTGGTGCTTCTGCAAGGCTGGGTTCCAACTCCTCTCGGATCCTAGCAAGGTCCTCCAAGTCTCACTGAACAAACAGATATACCTCCTGTGTCCCTATCCCTCCCACTGCCTCACAAACCACGGTCCCACCAGTCTAGAAAACCAAAGACTGCTTTCCCAGAGCCTGTGGACCTTCTGGTTGGGGTTTCTCCTTTCTAGTCAGATTTGAGGAACAGTGGTCACATTGTTGGGATTCCGTGCTGTTACTGTGGCTTAAGGACATGTGAGGTGGGGGGATCCCACAGACATTGAACCTTATAGCAATGTTGCTGAGTATAACAATGCCACTACAGCAACTGTAAAAGGCAGAATTAAAAAAATTTAATTGCATTAGGTTTATGGGGAATTAGTTTTATTGCAAGTATTTCCACTAGCAATTAAATATTGCAATAAGATGCTCTCAAAAACGACCTTTCGGAGATGCTTGTTATGTCCAGGGCTTGCCTAGCGGGGGCGGCAGGGGGCAGGGAGCCTGCATATTGATGGGATTTTCAGGGTTGGTTGGAGCCATTTGCCCTCCCACCACTGCAGTGTGATATCCTAGAAAGAGCAGGACCTCTGAGACCGGCAGAATGGAGGTTTGGGTCCAGATCTGCCCCCTCAAAGCTACATGACCAAGCAAACCCTTGTGCTCTCTGAGCCCCGTTTCCCTATGTGTAAAATGAAGGTGATAATACCTCACCTGGGATATTAGGAGAATAAACATGAAGAAAACGGCAAGTGCCTTCCGCAGTCCCAAGCACATGCAGACTCTCTGTGGACCTGCATTTCTCTCCTTCCTGTGTCCCCCAGGCCAGCATATCACAGTCCGTAAAGGCTCTTACCCATCGCAACCTTATTACTGTTTCTTATTGAAACATTCGTTTCCTGGCTGATGGGCTGCCACAACGATCCTGCAAAGAAAAACTTCATCCCAGGCAAGAATGAATCTTCCCTGCCTGGCAGGGAACCAAGATAGATAGACCCTTGTCTCCGCCCTCGTCATCTAGAAACTCATTTAGAGCTTGTTTCGTCATTGGAGGGTTCTCACAATCCTACTGAGAGAGGGCTAAGAAAGGCAAGAAGAGAACGAGGGACAAGGGCCCCACTGGCAGACAGAACAGCTTGAGGCAGCCCATAGGAAGTCAGTCGGGGTGGGGTGTGGTGGCCTTGGCTGGCCCACTATGGAGAGAAGGGTAGGGGTTGGGGCAGAGGTGTGACCTGGGTGTTAGGGGGGCCTGGCACTGTGGGGAAGGTAGGCAGAGAGAGAACCAGGGCTCAAGGTGGGATGCTGAGGCTGAGTAGCCAGAAATCAGGCTTCACTTACTTTGGGGGAGCACCTTGTGTTGACAGATCCTGTCTGTCCCCAAATATCTCTGTCCTGTGAAGGTTCCATCTAGTCTTCCATCAGAGCTGTGCTTGTTTCTCCAAGAGGATGGAGCAGCCCCCATGGCACAACTGAAGCTGGAAGCTTGGAGGCTGGGGCTGAGGGCAAGACTTGGCAATGAGACAGACTGGGCAGAACCTTCCTTTATCTTGGCTAGCTTTAGCCTGAAGGGCCACTGCGAGCCTGGCTGCTGGGTGTATGGCTGGGCTGGGTATCGTGCTCCTGCGGGGGACCTGGCTACTCAGCCTGGGACCTGGCTCCTTGGCCTCCAGCCCCTGCAGTCTAGACAAATCACCCTTGACTCCAGAGGTTGCTTGGCAGGGCTAGGCTTGGCAGGGCTGGGTGAAGCTTGGATGGAGAGGCTCGCAGCCCCCCATTTGCTGGGTGTCTTTCCTCCTCACACCCTCAGTGGGGCTGAGCCCTGAGCTGTACTTCCATCTTACCCCAGCTTCCTTTCACCTCTCTCCATCCTCTCTTCTATTTCCCTTGCTGTCCTTGGTCCTTCACTGGGTCTGCCTGCCTCCTCCTGCCTCTGTCTTTCATTGTCATCTGTCTGGCTGTCTTTGACTTCTTTGGGTCCATGCCTATCTCTTCCTGCTTCCCCCTCCCCTGCTTTGTCAGCCTCTCTTGCACCCTCCATTTCTTCCTGTCAGTCTCTCCCTCTCTCAGACATACTGGGGACCCTTGGGCTGTCTAGCTAAACCTGCTCTGATGCCCTGTTTGGTGGCTTTTCCCCTTCCAGATAGGGCTGGTGGTCATCCTGGCATCCACGGTGGTGGCCATGTCAGCTGTGGCCCAACTGTGGGAGGACGAGTGGGAGGTGCTGCTGATCTCCCTGCAGGTGAGTTGGGGAGGGGGTCCTGCTTCCCCCAGACCCTCAGAACAAGATAGCGCCTTTTCATCCCTTCCGTTTCTTCAGACCCAGACCCAGAGTGGGGCAGGAAAGAGTCCAGGCCACATAGCAAGTCAGGCAGGGAGGGCGCTACAGTCCAGAGTCCCTAGACTCCCAGTTTCCTCCAAGACAGTTTGCCTGTCCCATGGATAGAGATGGGCCATCAGGATGTTGGTGACCAAGAGGGTCTGGCATGGCTGGGAGTCAATGGTCCCTCTTGCCCCTTCCCACACACAAGGGCACAGCGCCGTTCCTGCACATGGGGGCCCTGGCCGCCATCACTGTGCTCTCCTGGATCGTGGCAGGACAGTTCGCCCGCACAGAGCGGTCCTGTAAGTACGACTGGGCAGGACCTGCCCCCCTCCCCCCCACAAACTCTCCAAGTGCCAGGCCAGCTTGTCCTGCCCTCACCTAGACATTACCTGGGTGGCCTGGGGATGAGGCGGGGCCTTCACTCTCAGGGTGGGAGGTTCTATTCAGTGGGTTCCATAGAGGGCTGTAGCCTCATTCAGCCTTGCTTGTTTCCTCTTCTGCATCTCTGTCTGTGTCTGTGTGTGAGTTAGAGTTCAGGGTCATCTTTCCAGCAAGAATGGGGACTGCCCCTGGTGCAGGGTCCCCTCAGAGCATCTGGGTCCTGACAGGTGGAGGGAAGAAGGGTCCCCCCACAAGCTGCCCAGGGCTCAAGTCTGGGCCTGGTGGGAGCCGAACGCTCACCAGGCAGTGCTCACAGCCTGTGTCTACAGCCTCCCAGGTGGCCATCCTCTGCACCTTTTTTGCCGTGGTGTTTGCCCTCTACCTGGCCCCTCTTACCATCTCCTCTCCCTGCCTCATGGAGAAAAAGGACCTGGGCCCCAAGCCCTCCCTCATCGGCCACCGCGGGGCCCCCATGGTGAGTGCCACCTAGGGGCCCTAACAGGTGGGGGGGAAGGGAAGGGGAAGGGAATGGGATGGAGACAGAGAGGACATTCTAGGGGGAGATCAGCAAAGACTTATCTCCTTATGGGGAGGACCTTGTAGAGAAATGAATACATGTAATATAATAATAGCAATTTTTAGTCTTTTCAGGGAGTATGTGGGATGAATTGATGAAAAGCCTGGATAGGCTTAGATGGGAGCAGATCCTGAAGAGACCTGAAGGCATCTTGCTAATAAAATGATGTAACTTTTATCAAGAGGGCCCTGAAAAGACACAGGGGGTTTTAGGCCAGAGACAGACACTGCCAGCGTGTGGGTTAGGAAAGCCCATGAGAGAGGAAGCTGCTGGGTGTAGGGTGGAAGCGGGGCCTGTAGGCTGTGACCAGGCAGCAGGAGAACCTGTGGGGGCAGGAAAGAGATGGGGTGCAGCTCAGAGCCCACTGCTGAAGGAAGGGCAGTTGAACTGAGTTGAAATGGAGAGAGGAAGAAGTCAAAGTCAGTGACCTGCTCCTCCACTGATGCCCTGTGACCCCACAGTAGACCTTCCCCTGAGAGGACATACTCCAGAGCCAGGCTTTCTCGGCCCCTTGACAGCTGTAGGAGCGTGGACCAGTGCCATCTTCTCTGTGTCAGCTTCCTCATCTTGTACCCTGGGCTAATGAGAGTGCCTGAGCTGGAAGGCCCTGTGAAGCAGGACTTAGCATGTGTGAAGTGCCCAGCTATGAGCCTGGTACACGTTCCTGTTATCTTGGGCAGGCTCTCCCCCTTCTCTGGCCCCAAGTTTCCTTACCTTGAACCTTGGTTCTCATAAGAGGCAGTACCACTCTCCACCCCCCAGGGGGTGCTTGGGGGACCTTGTGAGAGATTTTTCTTGGCAGTCACAATGATTGGGAGTTCAAGGTATCGCTGAATTTTATAGTAATCAAGGTGGCCTCACAAAGTAACCTTTAAAAAGAGGTGTTGAGTTTGACAGGGCTGCAAATCATCCTAAGGTCCTGCCCCATTGCGTGTGGTGGGCATTATTATGCCTCGTTTCTAGGTAAGACTCAGAGACCTGTGTCCCCGAGCTGGATGCTGGGGCCTTCCAACCACACTGACCACATTGTGTGCCAGTCCCAGCACCTCCTGGAGGCAACCAGCTAGAAAGGCCATGGCTTTGGAATTGGAGGGATCTGGGTAAGGGGTCCAGGTTTGCCATATGCTGCCTGTGCATCTCAGAGGACCACTTGTCCCCTCTGAGCCTCTCGCCCCTGTCTATATGAGGATAATTGGAAGCACAGCCTTCTTCCCAAGCAGCAGGGCCTGAGAGTACAGCTCCTCTTCTCTCCATGACTCAGATACCCACCCACCTGCTCTGGAGGCCAGGGAACAGGAGGGTATACTAAGGCAAGGGAGGAGGGGGTAAGGGGAAGAAGTGAGGTGGCCCAGTATGGATTGTTTTCTTGATAGAAAAATCACCAAAACAGAAAGAATAGTATAATGAAGAATAGCATAATGAATCCAATACCACCTTAAACATCTACCATTGTTTCTTTTTTCTACTGTAATATTTTAAAGTGAATCTGAGACATACATACTTCAGGATGTTTCTCTAACACATAAGGACTTTTTCTTAAAACATAACCACAAACACAGTGCTTTTATTATACCCAACCAAATTAATAATAATTCCTTAATATTATCTAATATTGAATCCGTGTTCACTTTCCCATTATCATCTCAAAAGTATCTTTTTACAGTTGAGTTGTTAAAAATTAAGATCCAAACGAGGTCCACATAGAGTACGTGGTTAACGTGTCTTCTAAATATCTCTTAGACCATAACAACCCCCCTCCCCTTTTTTCCATATGTAGTTTATTTGCTGAAGAAAGAGAGTCATTTGTGCTATAGAATTTCACACATTGTGCATCTAGCTGATTGCATTCTTGTGGTGTTTCTTGAGAGTTGGCAAAGGTATCTGGCACAACTCCTCCATGTGTTACTGTGACTACACATGTACCTGTGTCTATACCTGTGAATGCCCTGCCCTCCTGTGGGAGGTTCTGACTCGGTCCACACATCTATGTGTGTGGTAAGCCCAAGTGCACATCCCTGTCTTGGAGATGGGTGTCCATGTGCCCTTGGATGTATCGCGGGCTGTGTGTGTGCACGCATACTTTAATATTTGATTGGACTAACTCCAAAGCTTGGACTTTTAACCACAGTGGCCTGCCCACCTGAATTTGTGACAACCTTCTACACACACATACATATGCCTGACAGCAGAACCATGCATGGGCTTAGGCCTGAGTCAGTGGGAGCTCTGAGATGGGGATTAAGAAGTCACCCTAGAATCCTGTATGCTTCTTGGGACCCTTCTAGAGTCCTACCCTAAGGCTGGCCAAGGAGGGCCAAATTTCCATGCTTTCTCTAGACGGCTACACCTAACTCAGGAAGACCTGCGTGGAAAAAAGCCGCTAGACAGAGAGTTTGCCCCTCCCAAATTCATTTTGTCTACCCAGTCTACCTTCTGCAGCCCCAGCCAAGGCAGGAGAGTGCAATGTTACCTCTTGGATGGTCACTCGTGGGAGGGCTGGCCACAGGACATTTACAGACTAGGTGAGTGTGAACTCTACTGAGTCCACGCCTCTCTCTAGATGCCTCTTTGTCCCACTCCACCGCTGGACAGGGCCTCACACAGCCCACTTGACTGGGAGACAGCACGCTCCCCAAGGCTGCTCTGCACCAGGGAGAGGGGAAGAAAGGAAACCGTGTTATGGAAACTGCTGACATCTGTTATCTCACCTATGAGTTTGATAACATTGACCCATTTTATAGCTCAAGGAACTGACATTCCAAAAGGTGACTGGGAAACAGAATTGCTCCTTGTCAGCTCCAAAGCCCCAGCCGTGCCAGGCTGCCTCCCAGAGGAGAGGAGTATGCTGCATGTTGGGGAACAGCACGGCCAGAGGGAGAGAGGATGCGAACAAGCGTGTCTTGGTGGGAATGAGATCAGCTGTGGGGACCCTTTCCACCCCATCCCTCACTATCAAGAGTCCTTCCTCCCTCCATCTCCTAGCCCAATCTTTGGTATGGTGCTGACCCCCAGTGGCAGCAAAGGGCACGACAGGGTCCTCAGACCAGACAGAACTGGGGAGACCTAAATCTGCACCTCTCTCAACTGGAAGGACACTCAGTGAACAGTGACTCTACACTCCCAAGGGGAAAATGGGGGAAACTGAGGTCCATAGGAGAAAGAGATGCACCCAAGGTCGCAAAGTTGGTCAATGGCAGAGTAAGGGCTGGAACCAGGATCTTCTGACGTATGTGCTTTAGGGTTAGCAGTTGTCATTTATTAAGCACTTATCGTATATCAGGCAGCATGCTAGGGGCTTTTAATCCATGTAATGGTCTCAGAGATGGTCTTGTTATGTCTGTGTAGATGAGGAAACCGGTCACCCCTTTGAAACTGCCATCTTGTCTACTCTCTCCTCTCCCCCCGCGATCTCCACCTGGACTCAGGGTATAATAAGGGGAAAACAACATTCAGCCCCAGCCCAAGACTGCCATAAGGCAGAGAACTATAAAAAAGTCCTTCCGCCCCACATTTATATACATGAACACTAACCACCCCTGCCTCCCTCTCCCCCACCAAAAAAGCTGTGAGGCAGGCATGATTTAACAGATGAGGAAACTGAGCTTCAGAGAGGTTGTGTGAGTGCCCAGGTCACATATCTACTGCTTGGAGGAGTTGGAATTGGGACCAGGCCCAAGATGGAAGATTTTCCATTGGCTGGGGAGGTGTACATCAGCTAGATCTCAGCTCTCCCCTCACCACACCATTCTTCCCCCAGCTGGCCCCAGAGCACACACTGATGTCCTTCCGGAAGGCCCTAGAGCAGAAGCTGTACGGGTTACAAGCTGATGTCACTATCAGGTAGGTGTTGGGGTTGGGAGGGTGGCAGGCCTCCCAACCTTACTATATCCACATCTGATTTCTGCTAGAGAAACCTCAGGTCCTAGAGCCTCGGAGATGGAAGGGCAGAGGTTTGGATTATCCACCACAAGGCAGGCACCTGGTTCATGAAAATAAATCTTGTGCCAAACTCCAAGATATAAAATAGAGAAAAGAACAGCTGCTCTTGGTTCAAGCAGGGATGGGGCACTGGGACCTGGAGTCCTGCCACAGATCCACTTGAAGAAAAGACTAGATCTATGTGGCTCAGAAAGATGGAGCTCAAACTCTCATAAATGAAATAAGCACATTGCAAAGCAGTACGTTCACTGTTATGTCAATCATATTTTAAAAGACCACATTAAAACGATTTATACATTTTGTACATGTAGATATATGTGAATACTAGTATAAGGGGCAGGAGGAATCCACACCAATCTCATAACAGATTATCTCTGAGAGGGGGAGAGGGGCAGGGCTGCCATGGAGTTGTGCAGCTCGTGTATTTACGTATTCTATATCATAGAATTATGTATCTATTAAAACTTTCTGGTAGATGGTGGTAAAATGCCTTGAGGAAGGGGGCACAAGTGCCTTTTACTGTTTCACAACATATAGGCTATTGGCAGCTGCAGTGGGGTAGACCAGATGGTGGTGCGGTAAAATTCGTCAAAAGGGCCTGCATTCGGACCTTTCTCATTGTGGCATCACATGGAATGGGTTCTAAGCCAGGTTCCACCACTTACTTATGGACCTTGAGCTAGGTACTTCCCTCTCCCCAGCTTCATTTTCCCCATTATTAAATGAGGTAGCACCTACCTTCCAAGGTTACTAATAGTCCCAGCCCTCCCTCCCTCCCTTGAAGACCCCCCCGCCCCGACCCTCACAGAGAGCCTGGGGGAGTCACCCACCAGCCCAGTGCCCTCTTAGCGCAGAGATCTTAAGGCCCAGAGGGGCGGAGCCTGCCTGGGTCAGCGGTGGGTTGGTGTAAGTAGGTAGGGAACAGTGGGGGCGGGGCGGTTATTGTGGGCAGTTGACAGCCCTGGGTGGGCAGGGACTCAGCGGCCCCACCCTCCTGCAGCCTGGACGGCGTGCCCTTCCTCATGCATGACACCACCTTGCGGCGCACCACCAACGTGGAGGAGGAGTTCCCGGAGCTCGCCCGCAGGCCCGCCTCCATGCTCAACTGGACTGTCCTGCAGAGGCTCAACGCTGGCCAGTGGTTCCTGAAGGTCTGGCTGCACCTGTCCCAGTCGTAGGCACAAAAAGCACAGGCAGGAACCCCATGGAGTGAAAGGACGGGGGCGGCCATCAGCTCAGTGACCCCTCCTCCCCAAGCTTCCCTCACAGCCCAGCTGATTAGTGGCCTCCTAGGGATCCTGCCACTGTAGTCCTAGTATCATAGTTGTCATTTCGTGTGCTGGTTCTGTCTCCCCGCTCCAAGTTTCTGGTGATAACAGTTAATAGTTAAAATTGTCAACTCTGTAAATCTCTAAAGGGAGGTTGGTTCTCTGGTTTGAAATGCTACTAAAAGTGAAATGTGCTAGGGTCTGGGAGATGTTCCAAGTAAATCATTCTTTTGGTAAAGAGGGTGTAGGGTAAGGAGGTTAGGGTTGGGCTCTACTAGAGCCCCCCATAGGCCCACAGCTATCAATCCGCCTGACACGCATGCACCAGTAGATACCGGCAGTTCAGAGGTCTCAGTGCTCAGTAGCCAGGAAGGCACACAGCCTTCAGAGGGCTGGTGAGGCAGCCATGTGTGTGTCCTTGTCTCTACCAGACGGACCCCTTCTGGACAGCCAGCTCCCTGTCACCCTCCGACCACAGGGAGGTCCAGAACCAGTCCATCTGCAGCCTAGCGGAGCTCCTAGAGTTGGCCAAGGGCAATGCCACACTGTTGCTCAACCTGCGTGACCCTCCACGGGAGCACCCCTACCGTGGCAGCTTCCTCAACATCACACTGGAGGCTTTGCTGCGCTCAGGCTTCCCCCAGCACCAGGTGAGGCCTGGCAGCCCAGCCCAACCCACCCCAGGGAAGCCCAGCCCAGCCCAGCCACACCCCAGGGAAGCCCTGCCCAGCCCCACCTCCCCCTGGACCCAGGCCTGGCAGGAGCAGGACTCCAGCATGGACTCCCCATGTCCCCTATCCAGACCTCAGCTTCCACATTTGTAAAATGGAGGTAGCATGCCCCTCTTTTCCCTGACAGGGTCATCCTGGGGTCAAGAGTGGAACAAGAAAATCCTTTAAAATGTACAAAGGGTAGGAACAGGTCCAGGTTCTCCCAGACACTATTACTTCCGTGAAGCATTGCCCACATCCTTGTTGTATAATATTTGGAGATCACAGGAATCCTACACCAAGTTATGATGCACACTAGATGCTGGTGGCCATGTGCAGAATTGACGTTTGGGTTATTAGTCTTTGGGTTATTAGTGACAAGGATGTAGAAGGGAAGCTCGGTGGGCTGTTGCCAAAGCAATTCAGTCTTCCCCTGGGATCAAGTCTTCCCCTGGTGGTGATTCCTATATGTAAGCTTTCACCGTGTGCCAGGTCCTGTCCCTTTTAACCTTTTCAGGTGCCCTAGGAGGGTAGACATTTTAACCCTATTTACAGACGAGAAATCTGAGGCTGCCCCCAATGCCTGCAGGTCATGTGGCTCCCTAACAGGCAGAGACCCTTTGTGCGGAAGGTGGCTCCTGGCTTCCAGCAGACATCAGGCTCCAAGGAGGCAGCCACCAGCCTGCGGAGAGGCCACATCCAGCGGCTGAATCTGCGCTACACTCAGGTGTCCCGCCAGGAGCTCAGGTGCCCACCCTACCTACCCTGGCTCACCCAGAGAAAGGCAGGACTGAGTTTCTCCATTCCTGTCACCACACACACACACACACACACACACACACACACACACACACACACGCACACACACACCGCACACTGGACAGAGGACTAGAAGCACAGGGGCTTCTGGTTCAAAGAAGAAAAGTAGAGAGCATTAAGACAGACCTGGGTTGTCCCTGAGCTTGGCCCTCTGGGAGTAGAGTCCTTCCTTGGTGGACAGTTGTGAGGGTGGCATTAGGCTGTAAAGGGGACATGCTTTATAGGCTTCCCACAGTGGACCTGGAGGCCCAGATCTGTGGGCCAACCAGCCTGTGTCCCCTGCCCTACAGGGACTACGCATCCTGGAACCTGAGTGTGAACCTCTACACGGTCAATGCGCCATGGCTCTTCTCCCTGCTGTGGTGTGCGGGGGTCCCGTCCGTCACCTCTGACAATGCCCACACCCTGTCCCAGGTGCCTTCCCCTCTCTGGATCATGGTGAGTTGGAGGAGCAGAGAGCTGCCTGTGGTACCCAAGAGGGGGCAGGCTCCACACGTGGGGCTCTCTGGTGAGGTCTCAGGGTGCGGGGAGTGCATGGGGGTACAGGCTTGAGGCATGAGGCCTCTGGGTCTGTGCTAAGGTGCTGGGAGGTGGGAGGAACCCAGGCCCAACCCATAGGGAGAAAACATCACTAACGCCCCTAGAGAACTAGTCGACAACTACGTGGATTTTTGGTTTGGTGCTGTTTATTATATTTTGTTTTAAAGGAAAGGAAGGCATTAGAAAAACAGGGTAACAGGATAAGAATAGGGAACATTAAAATCTGCTCAGAGGTTATAGCAAATCGAACCATTTTCAATTGGTTGGCCGAGCACCTGCAGACAGGCCTAAATTTCAGTCCCAGCCCTGCCACTGGGGGACTTGGGGAGCCCTTGACCTCCCTCCTGTGCTTCCACTGCCAGCAATCTGAGGAGGTGCGAGGCAGATGGAGGGTCTCATTATGGCTAAGATGGTGCCAAAGTCAATGAATCAGATTTAGGTGTAGACGGGTAAGTCCATCCACCTGCCCATTATTCTTTAAAACTTCCAAAAGCTTAGCTCAGATGAAATAACACTCAATGAAATGACATTGTGGCAGCAATAACAATGAGCACATTCGAAATTTGGGGTAACAGGAATTGACCAATAGCAAGAAGGGTCCCCCACCCCACCCCCTCCTCCACAGTTTACCTGAGGTCCAAGAGGTTTGCCGTCCTGCCCCTCTCCACTGTCTCTGAAGGGGAGTCCCCAACTCTACAGTGACACTTGTACACTTACACCCACATGGATGCCACACCCGCATGCCATGTCACACTTTCACGCTCCTCTTTCATTATTCCCCTCTTGCTTTGAGCCCCCTTAAGCACGCAAACCCTCCAGCCTTAACACAGACCACCTCTACCCTAAACACTGCACCCATCTCTTTTACACTGTACACACACATACACACACACCAGGCCCACAGTGCCCACTCCTCCAGGTCCTTCCCTGCCCCTCCCCAGTGGTAACCGGGGCCCTCCTGCCCATGGACCCTTAGTCTGGAGCCTGGTGTGGACCGGCCATGACTGGAGGCTGGCCTTGGGCTATCTCTCCACAGCCCCCGGATGAGTACTGTCTCATGTGGGTCACCGCCGACCTGATCTCCTTCATCCTCATCATTGGCATCTTCGTGCTCCAGAAGTGAGTAGGCTCTGACCACATTCCACAACCTTCCCTGCCCCAAGACAGGCCCCACCCCAGCCAGGTGACCCTCCTCCTGAGCCAGGAGGCCTGACCATATGGCCCGTGCAGGAGAGAAGGAGGACTCTCAATGGTCCCCCAGCCCATCCCCCTCAGCCAGAGCTGGGTGGCTTCTGGAATGAGCACCCAGCTGGAGCCCAGAGACATCTGCCATGATTTGCTTTGTGGACTCTGGCGAGTTTCAGCTCCTCTCTGGCTTGTCTCCTCAACTGTTACCCAAGGCCATGGGTTCCCACCAGCACTGGGTCGTGCCATACTGGAGACCTCCCTACCCCTCAGGACAATAGTTGGGATGGTGGTTGCAGTGGGGAGGTGGGGGTGGCCCAAGGGATGGTTCAGGGCCAGGCTGGGATCCCAATCCAGCCATGAGCCAACGGGAAGGGGTTTTATTCTTGACTGACGTTCTCTCTCTGTCCCATACTGCTCTGACCCGGCGCATGTCCCTCCTCTCTCTCCCCAACCTCCCCCTCTCTGCTGCACTCTGGCATCTCACAGCTATCACTTGATCAGGTAATTCTGGTGTGGTCTTCCTCCTCCTGTTCCTCTTTCTCCCTCCTCCTTGCCACCCCTTTCTCCAGTTCCTCTGAAAACCTGCACCTGGGTCAGGCTCCCTCACCATCACCCTCCCAGATACCTCGCTCGCCTGAAGTCTCCTCCCCTCGCCTGCCATCCTCCCTTCTCTTCCCATCCTGCCATGTGTGCCCCTCTGCTCTCTGTTCTTCCTGCTATTTCTGCAGATGGGGAACCAGTGTTTCCTTGCAGGTTGCGGTCCTGGCCTCAGTTACCAAAGCATCTTTCTCTGGGGAGGGGGCTCTGCCTGGGCACCCTGTCCCCAAGTCTGTCACTTGCAGGGCCTTCACTGCTGCCCAGCACGTGCCCTACTAAGTTCTGTCTCTCCTTTCACATCTGTCACCTTCCCCTTCTCTGAGTTTGCCTGTCCCATAGCTCTATCTTTCTCTGTATCTCAACTCTTTTTCACTTTGTCTCTGACTCTCCCCATACACACAGCCTCCCTCACTTTCCCCTGGGGAGGGCCTCAGAGTGGTTGAGCTTCCTGTCCTAGATGTGCCTGGCTGCAAAGACCCTTGGTCAAGTGCCTTGGGCCTTCCTGGGTCAGGAGGCTTCACTGACCAGCTAGTAGGAGAAACTCTGTGCTCTTTGGCCATGGGACTGAGGCCAGTGAAGGGGCATTTACCCAATCTTTCCCCCATTCTTAGTCGGCAGACATGTGCTGGCTGGTGCTGTGCTGGGCCTGCAGCAAGGCCTCAGGCCTTCACACAAGAGCCCCAGTGTACTGTGCAGGCTGGCCCTTGATGACCCGGGTCCTGGGACAGACATGCTGGGCCCACTAAATATACAGCCAAGACAGTATCATTGTCTTCCGGCTGGGGTGGGGCAGGAGAGAGTGGGGATGTCAAGAAAGGCCTGATGGAGAAGGGGACCTTTGGGTCTCATGCTTCCATTCATTCACTGAACAAATACTTAGGGCCCCCACCCCCGCCATAGCAGGCCTTGAGTGGTGTCAGGGACACAGTGATAAAGAAGAGAACTAATCACAGCCCTCAAGGATGTGTAGGGCTCTAGCCTAGCCAGAGCGCAGGCTGCCTTCCCCCTCTGCTTCCTGCTTTCCCGTCTGTCTGCTCTGTTCTTCCACCCATCTGCCTGTCCGTCTGTCCATTTCTGCTGCACTGACCCCATCTGGAAACAACTGATTTCTCATGGAGTCTGGACTCCCTCCATCCCCCCCAGCAGGGCTCAGCGCCCTGGGGAGTTGGGCCCTTGTTTCCAAGCTGACCCTTGCTTCTCTTGGTGGGAGTCGGGGTGGTGGTCCAATGAATCCTTCTGACCAGGTTGCAGGAAAAGTCTTAAGTTCAGAAGCCAGGGATTTGGGGCTAGTTCAGAGAAACTACAACAGGAAAAATAGTGCCCAGTTCTGCCTGGCTCCTGCATGCCCTGGGCAGCCCCACTTCTCAGCCCACTTGATTAATTTTATACGCCCCCACCCCGGCCTTGCCCCTGCCTTGACCATCAGAAGGATTAATGCTCCAGCTTTTCCCTCCCCATTAAAGAATATATACCCTACTCTTCCAGGGTTGCTGGAACAGAGTAACAGCATACTCAACCTCAAGTCACTCTAATGCCCTTGGCCCTGAGTCTGTGACCAGTTCTGAGCAAAGCCCCCTGCCATCTCCCCTCACCTTCCTGCTCTCTTCCTTCAGTTCCTCTCTGGGGTTTCCCTCTGGCTTCACTCAGCCTAGTCATGATGGTGGGTAAGAGACAGCAGCTGCAATTCCCCAAGATTGGTGTGTACCCCAGGGCAGGTCAGCAGAGTCATGTCTGCTGAGTCCTCCCCCACCCCAAATTCATTCCATCCAAAGAGCCAGGTGTGTAACTGAGGGCACCTGAGACAACTAACCAACCCCAAAACATCTTCTTGGGTGACCTCAGGTTCTGGAGGTAAGAGGGAGGCAGGAGACTCAAATTCAAGCCCCAGCTCCACTTATCCCTGGGCCTCAGTTCTCCCATCTGTATAGTCAGAAAAGAGTCTTGCTGGTCTCTCAGGCCAAATCCAGAGAGGCTATGGAAGTGGGCAGGATCCCTGCTCCAGGGAAGGACCTGATGCCCACGGGGCCATCTCTGCAGGTGGCGCTTGGGTGGCATACGAAGCTACAACCCCGAGCAGATCATGCTGAGCGCAGCAGTGCGCCGGACCAGCCGGGATGTCAGCATCATGAAGGAGAAGCTCATCTTCTCAGGTATGCAGCCATGTGGACAGGCACTGGGCTCCCTGGTGTCCCACAGCCCTCTGGCCACCCTGGGGAGCTCCTGGAAGAAAGGACCAGTCCAAGGGATCCCCAAACCCCTGTACAGTGCATGGCTCAGAGAAGTCAGAAGGGGCCAGCAGAATGAATGGAAAGCAGGAGGCCCGCCCCTAGGCCTGGCAGGTTCTGCCCATCCAGACCCCCCGCCTCTCCTATAGTGCCAAAGGCCATTCACTGAGCATCTTCTGAGTGCAGGCTCTGAGGAGTCAGTCACAGTCCTCATCCCCTGCCCACTCCAGGTTAAGAGGTCCTCTCAGTGACCCTCAACCCCATCAAAGCACCCTGAGTCCCCTCGGGATGGGCTCAGCTCTACTCAGCAGTCCTTTCCTGAGCCTCAACTCTATGTCCAGTGCTATGCCAGGCACTGGGAACACAGAAGCCCAGACCCCACCCCTATCCTCAAACTATACCAGATGATGGAGGCCAGCCACAGTGACAGTACAGGATGTGATGGGGCCAAGGGAAGCAGGGGCTTGGGGGGGTGTGAGGAAGCCCCATTCCAGCCTAGGGGGATCAGGGGAGGCTTTCAGGAGGCTGCAATAACAGAGATGAGAGGAATTAAGCCAGATTTTAAGAAAAGGTGTTGCTGGGGAGGTCATTCCCAGGAGAGGGACCAGTATGTGCCCTAAGGAAAGAAAACACATGGATGCCAAGCTCAGGAGGATGCAGATGGTTTTCTGTGGCTAGAAGGTAGAGTTCCAGGATGGAGTAGACACCAAGGGCCTTGAATACCAAGCTCAATACCAAACTTGAACCCAGTGGTTTCATCAGCTTCCAATCGCCTAACCAGGAGTTGTTACAGGATACCCTTCCCACAGCATCTGCCAGCCATCCTCGTTACCCCTCACCTGTCCCCACTCACATTCTCCTTCCCTCTGGCCCAACAGAGATCAGCGATGGCATGGAGGTCTCCGACGAGCTCTCTGTTTGTTCAGACAACAGTTATGATACGTACGCCAACAGCGCCACCACCTCTGTGGATCCCCGAGGGATTGGCAGCCGTGCCAAGACCATTACAGTCCGGAGTGGCCGTTAGCTGAACACTTGTCTTCCCAGGCTATACCTAACATGGAGACCGGGGATCCCAGGAGAGCTGGCAGAAGTGTGTCTGGACTCGGAGTGCTCTGGGAGCTGGCTCCATGGCCTCCTTTTTGGTTCCAGCCCCTTGTCTGCCATGGCCTCTCTTGGAAGGGGCACCACTCTCCCCTGAGGCCCAGCAGGGCCAGGACTCCAGCTTCTCAGATGCCCCTGCAGGCCTGGGGCACCTTCTCCTGGGAAATGGTGGGCCTGAGGCCTAGTCCTCCCCTGAGGCCCTCCCTTGTATCCTGACCTAGAAGTTTTGATGGGTCACTGGGCCATGCCATGCCTCCTGTGGCAGTGGAGGCTGTCAGTGCCCACATGTGACCATTGTCCTATCTGTGCTGTGAGGCAGCTGACTTCTCTAAGTTTTTCCTCTCTCGAGGGCCTGGGCTGGGCCTCTGCCCCCAGCAGCTCTACTCTTCATGTCAGTCTCAAAGCACAAGAAGGTTCAGCTCAGGAGGAAAGCATGCTACAGTGGTGGATACCTCTCATGACTCTACTGGTCCTGCCTCAGGAAAGGGCCTGACCCATGTCCTCTAGGAGCAGCTGGAGATGACCAGAAGAGCAGGCTCAGGGCTCAGTCCCATGCCCAAGTGTCCAACAGGCCTCTGGGGCAGAGTGGCCTGGAGGCCCTGGAGATCCACAGACTGACATGACCTCAGTTCTCAAGTTGGCCACAGGGCAGGAGCCACCTGAGAAAAGTGCTTTGGGCATGGTCAAGGGTTGGTGTGTGGCCCAGGAGGCCTGCAGTAGAGGGAGCCTGAGAGGCCTTGGCCAAGGTGATTAAAGCTGCCATCTTGACATATGTCATCTCTTAACTGGCAGTGGGAGGGTGGGAACAGAGCTTGCTGGGTTTGAGATTCAGTCTTGCCCCCATGATTTGAGGAAGAGCCATTTTCAGAAATGAGGAGAGTAGCAGGGTAGGTGAGTCCCTCTCCCATATTACCAAGGCTCCAAGGGTTTCTTAACAGCCCTGGGGTTGGGTACCAGTATCCCTGTATTTGGCTGGGGGAGACAGTCTTTGAGAGGCAAAGTGACCAGCCAAGGCCACACAGTTCAGTACAGGCAAAGCCAGAATCTCACCCAGGCTCTGGCCCTAGAGTGTGCACATGCCTTCTGTTACCAGCTGGGAACGGCACAGCAGATGGGGAGGCCTCCTGGGCCTGAATGTAAGGGTGGGCAATGGGACCAGGAGGTCCCTTCACAGCCACATGGAGGCTTTCTGAAGTTCCTGGCTTATGGAGGGACAGGCCCTCAGCCAGGAGATGCCTTTCCCCCATGGCAGAGGTTTGGCTTGGACTTTGCAAGGTTTTGGACGTGACTGAAGGGGGCCCATACCATTCCTGGTACAGTGGGGTGTCTCCTAGCTGAACGCCCAAATACAGCCCGAGACCACAGATGTCCTTTCCTGTCTTTCAGTCGTTGGAGCTCTGCACTCTGTGAAGGTCAGTGGCAGAGTAGGGCAAGTCTGTAACTCCCATCTTTATCCTGAGAGTCTCTGTGGTCTTGGGTGTGTCCTAAAGGGGAAGGAGGGAAGCTGAACCCTGGCACCAGCCTGCATTAAATAAATGCAGTGCTTCCTGGGAGCCAAGGGATGTATGTGTCTCTTTTCCCAACAGGGATCTTCTGGATAGAATTCTTGGGATCTGAGTGATTCTGGCACCTTCTTGAAAGAAAGGAAGAGAAACTTTCCCCAAATGTTGGAACCCAGACGTGACCCCCACATTAACCTATAGGACTGCCCCTCAGGAACTGTGAAGGATTCACCCCTCCTTTCCCTCTACTAAGCATCTGCCAAGTGCGTCCCTTACTGGGGCAGAGGTCAGCTCCTGCTTCTCCCTGGGCACAAGGGAATATAAATGAAACCTGGAATGGCTGGGTCAGGGGTCAGGTGGGGTACACTGCCCTACCCAGAATGCCCCAACTCCTCTCCAGCCTTTGGCAGGCCAACCAGGAAAGTGGATCTGCTCTACCACGCCAACCCCTCCCTGTCCAGTCAGTACCCTTGGCCAGGATGTCCCAGGCTCCTGGCCAGACTTGGGCAACTTGAGACATCCTGCAGTCTTCAGGAAGGGGTAGATGGGGCTGGGAGTTCTAAGTGGAAGAGCCAGAGTCCCACACTGTACCCCACCCCCCACTCCCCAATGCAGAGGTAGTCCAGCTGCTTCTCTTCACCCCAGACAGTGGTGGGAGGACAGTGAGCAGACAGCCAGGCCTGTCTCCACCCTCAGCTGAGCCCACAGTGTGTGGTCAACTCTGACTCCTATCCCTTGACCTAAGGTGTAACTGAGAATCCCACCTTCTTGATGGTCTCCCCTTATCTGCAGAGGACAGCCTGACTGCCCATTCACAGGGATATGAGTCAAGTCCCCTCCCTTTCCTGCCACCCCCTATAGACCCATTCCCCTTCCTCCCTTGGACCTCAGCAGCTGAGGCCTTCTCTAGTCTGAGCTCACCTTCCACTTCCTCCAGGGCCCTCCATGCACTTTCAGCCCCACATTCCCAAGTATAGATATAAAGGTGCTCAAATCTAGAGATGGTGGCAGTGTAGGAGAATGCTGAGCTCACCTCTTACAATGAGAAAAATCAAATATACGCATATACAAAAAGCAATTACTCCTATGAGACAACTGAGGACTGAGTGAACAACAAACAAGAGAAAGAGACAATAGAGAATGCTAGGAAGCTGTGAGAGCCCTCTGGGAGCTATGGAAACTCCCAGCTAGAGGAATCTATGAACACTTGTTTAAGTCCCCCTCCACTTCCATAGGGTGGGTGGAGCTCTACTTGAGGGCTTTGGCCTACCTGCAAGATCACCCCAGCTACAGTGCCTGCAGCCTTTTCCCTCCAATGAAGGGAGCAACTAGGAACAACAGGGCAATACCACACGTACTTGCCAGGAAGGGAGGCCACTCAGCTTGGAAGGCCAGTGACCCAGGTGCCATAAGCACCTGCTTGGCTGCAACAAGCTTGCCAAAACTACAGGGCACATAAAGCCTACACAGAGGTTGCTTCTACACAGGACCACTTTTTGTACAGAGAGAAGCTGTATAGGGAAGACAGGGGAGCCACAGGAACTTTCCTGGGGCTGCAGGAATTCTCCAGGGTTGGAGGGGCAGGTGAGCACCATTGTTTATGTCCCCTCCACCTCCACAACGTGGGCAGGGGCTCTAACCAGGTGCTCTGACCTACCACCTACAAGGTTGTTGCTGTACATTCCCAGACACATCACCCAAGCCTATTTCAGCCCAGAACAAAGGGAGCAAACACAATTAGCAGGACATTACTACATGCACCTGGCCTCCCCACCTGGAGCCACTTCAGCTTGGTAGGCCAGTGCCCCAGATGCTTTAGGCATCCACTTGGCTCCTACTAGTCTGCCAAAACCACTGGTACACACAACCTAAACAGAGGCCTCTTCTACATAAGGCCACTTTTTTGAGACTAGGAGAGAGACCTATTTTGTCTAATTCATATAAACAAACATAAAAGTCAGATAAAATGAAAAGAGAGTCTCTACCAAACGAAGGAACAAGAAAAATCCCCGGGGGGTGGGGAACCCCTAAGAAAATGGAGATAAATAACTTGCCTGATAAAAAATTCAAAGCAACAGTCATAAGGATGCTCACCAAACTTGTGAGTGGAATAGAGGAGCTTACAGGGAACTTCAACAAAGAATTAGAAAGTATAATAGAGGACAAATCAGAGAAAAAGAATGCAGTATCAGAAATGAGAAACATCTAGATGGAATCAACAGCAGACGAGCTAATATAGAATAGGTCAGCAACCAAGAAGACAGACTAGTGGAAATCAACCAATCAGAACACCAAGAAGAAAAAATGTTTAGAAATGAGGTATAGTTTAAGGGACCTCTGTGATAACATTAAGCGCTCAAACATTCACATTACAGGGATCCCAGAAGAAGAGAGAAAGGAACAGAAACTTTATTTAAAGAAAGAATGGCTGAAAATGTTCCTAATCTGGGAAAGGAAACAGACATCCTGGAAGCACAGAGAATTCAAAACAAGATGAAACCAAAGAGACCCACAACAAGATATATTGTAATTAAAGTAAAAATTAAAGAGGCAATCTTGAAGGAATCAAGAGGAAAACAATGAGTTTCATAAAAAGGAAATCCCACAAGGCTATCAGTTGATTTCTCAGCAGCAACTTTACATACCAAAAGGGTGTGACAAGACATCTTTAAAGTACTGAAAGAAAGGAACCTACCACCTAGAATAATTTATCCAGCATGGTTATCATTCAGAATTGAATGATAAATAAGAGTTTCCTGGAGAAGCAAAAACTAAAGGAGTTCATCACCATTAAACCAGTTTTATAAAAAATATTAAAAGGTCTTCTTTAAACTGAAAAGGGAAGGCCATAACCAGAAATAAGAAAATTTGAAGAAGAAAATCTCACAGGTAAAGCCATATATTTAATAAATATAAGCAAATCAGATATTTAAAAAGCTACTACAAAGGTCAAAAGAAAAGAGTATCAAACTCTACTCAAACTGCAATAAGTAGTTAGGAGGTACACAACACAAAAAGATCTAAAACATAACATCGAAAACATCATGGTGGGGGGAGTAAAAATGTAGTCCTTATAGAATATATTTGAACTAAAATGCCTATCAGCTTAAAATAAACTGCTATATAGGATGATATACATAAACCTTATAGTAGCTACAAACCAAAAACCTACAAAAGATATACAAAGAACAAAGAGAAAGGAACTCAAAGAAAATACTAAAGAAAAACAGCGAACCACAAGGGAAGAAATTAAGAGAAGAAAAGGAACCAAGAACTATAAAAACAACCGAAAACAATGAACAAAATGGCAATAAGTACATATATGTCAATAATTACTTTAGATGTAAATGGATTAAGTGCTCCAATAAAAAGACATAGGGTAGTTGAATGGATTAAAAAACATGACCCATCTGTATGTTGCTTACAAGAGACTTCAAATTGAAAGACACTTACAAAGTGAAATCAATAAAGAAACAGTGGCTTTAAATGACACTTTAAAGGCCAGGTGGACTTAATTGAAATTTTTTGAACATTTCATCCCAAAGCAGCAGAATATACATTCTTTTCAAGTGCACATCAAACATTTTCCAGGACAGACCACTTGTTAAGCCACAAAACAAGTCTCAATAAATTTAAAAAGACTGAAATCGTATCAAGCATCTTCTCCAATAACAAAAGTATGAAACTAGAACTCAATTACAAAAAGAAAACAAAAATACACAAACACATGGAGGCTAAATAACACACCACTAAACAATGAATGGATTAACAACAAGATGAAGGAGGAAATCAAAAGACACCTTGAGGCAAAAGCAAATGAAAATACAATGACCCAAAAATCTATAGGGCACAGCCAAAGCAGTTCTAAGAGAGAAATTCATAGCATTACAGGCCTCCTTCAAGAAACAAGAAAAATCTCAAATAATCTAGCCAAAGGAACAATGATACCAAGAGCTGGTTCTCTGAAAAAAAAAAAAAAAATCAATAAACCTTTAGCTAGATTCATCAAGGAAAAAAAAAAAGAAGAGTGCCCAAATAAAATCAGAAATGAAAGAGAAGTGACAACTGACACTACAGAAATACAAAGGATTAAAAAATTACCCCAACAATGATATGCTAACAAATTGGACAACCTGGAAGAAATGGATAAATTCCTAGAAACATACAATCTTCCAATACTGAATCAAGAAGAAAGAAAAAGTCTGAACAGACCAATAACTACTAATGAAATCAAATCAGTAATCAAAAAACTCCAAACAAAAGTCCTGGACCAGATGGCTTCACGGGTGAATTTTATCAAACATTCAAAGAATTAACACCTATCCTTCTCAAACTATTCCAAAAAATTGAAGAGGAGGAAGGCTCCCAAATTCATTTTACAAAGCCAGCACTACTCTGATACCAATACTAGACAAAGACACTACAAAAAAGAAGAGGAGAAGGAGGAGGAGGAGGAAGAAGAAGGAAGAAGAAGAAAATTATAGGCCAATATCCCTGATGAACATAGATGCAAAAATTCTCGACAAAATATTAGCAAATCAAATTCATCAATAAACTGAAAAGATCATACACTGTGATCAAATGGAATTTATTCCCAGGATGCAAGCCTGGTTCAATATCTAAAAAACAATTAATGTGATATACCATATAACCAAAATGATGGATAAAAAACACATGATCATATCAATAGATGCAGGAAAAGTATTTGATGAAATCTAACATCTATTTATGATAAAAACTCTCAGCAAAGTGGGGACAGAGGGACCATACTTCAGCATAATAAAGGCCACATATGATAAACCAACAGCTAACATATTCAAAAGCTGAAAGCTTTTTCTTTAAGATCAAGAACAAGATAAGGATATCCACTTTCATCACTTTTATTCAACTTAGTATTGGAGGTCCTAGCCACGGCAATTGGACAAGAAAAAGAAATAAAGGCATCCAAATTGAAAAGGAAGAAGTAAAACTCTCATTAGTTGCAGATGACATGATACTACATATAAAGAATGCACAAGATTACACCAAAAAACTATTAGAATAAATTAGTTCAGTAAAAGCAAGATACAAAATTAATAATCAGAAATAGGCTGCATTTTTATACACCAATAACAAACTATCAGAAAGAGAAATAAAAAAATCCTACTTACAACAGCATCAAAAAGAAGATAATACCTAGGAATAAATTTAACCAAGGAGGTAAAAGACCTGTACTCAGGACACTAAAAGACACTAAAGAAAGAAATTTAAGAACACACAAATAAATAGAAGGATATACCTTGCTCATGGATAGAAAGAATTAACATCGTTAAAATGCAAAGCAATCTATAGATTCAATATAATCCCTACTGAAATGGCATATTACATAGAACTACAACACGTAGTTCTAAAATTTATATGGAACCACAGAAAACCCCAAATAGACAAAGAAATCTTGAGAAGTAAGAACAAAGTTGGAGGTATCATGTAAATTGATATCAAACTATACTACAAAGCTATAGTAATCAAAATAGCATGGTACTAGCATAAAAACAAACAACAGATCAATGGAATAGAATAGTGAGCCAAAAAATAAACCCGTATCTATATGGTCAATCTATGACAATGAGGCAAGAATATACAATGGGTAAAGACAGTCTGTTCAACAAATGGTGTTGGGAACGCTGGACAGATACACGCAAAAAAATGAAATTGGACCACTTTCTATACCATATACAAAAATTAACTCAAAATGGATTAGAGACAAATTAAGACCCAAAACCCCAAACCTCCTAGAAAAAAAACTCTCTGACATTGCTCTTAGTAATATTTTTTTCTGATATATCTTCTAGGCAAAAGAAACAAAAGTAAAAATAAACAAATAGAACTACATCAAACTAAAAAGTTTGGGATGGTGAAGAAAACCATCCAAAAAACAACAAAAACCTACTGAATGGGAGATCTTCTGAAATGATACATTCAATAAGGGATTAATATCCAAAATATATAAGGAACTCATATAACACCAAAAAACAAGCAATCCAATTAAAAAATGGGCAGAGGACTTGAACTAATGTTTCTCCAAAGAGGACATATAGATGGCCAACAGGCATTTGAAAAGATGCTCGACATCTACTTATCAGAGAAATGCAAATTAAAACCACAATGAGATACCACCTCGCACTTGTCAGAATGATTGTCATCAATAAATCAACAAACAAGTGTTGGCGAGAATGCAGACAAAAGGGAATCCTCATGCACTGTTGGTAGGTTTGTAAATTAGTGTAGCTGCTATGGAAAACAGCATGGAGATTCTTCAAAAAATTAAAAATAGAGTTGCCATATGATCCAGCAATTCCATTTCCAGGTATTTATCCAAAGAAAACAAAAACACTAATTTGAAAAGATGTATGCAGCCCTATGTTCATTGCAGCATTAATAGATTTGGACAGATGAATGCATAAAGATGTGACACACATATACAATGGACTATTACTCAGCCATACAAAAGAATGAAGTTTGCCATTTGTGTCAACTCAGATGGACTTAGAGGGTATTATGTTAAGTGAAATAAGTCAAAGACAAATATCGTATGATTCCCCTTAGACGTGAAATCCAAAAAAAAAAAAAAACACACACAAAATAAAAGAACAGACCCACAGATATATAAAACAAACTGACAGTTGCAAATGGGGAGGGGGGAATAAATGAATGGTTAAAAAAAAAGTGCCCAAATCGCTCACATTCTTTAACAAACAACGACACATGCCATCCTTTTTTTTAGGCAGAAGGAGTATACACCATTCCCTGGAGCAGAGTCCACAGAACAGGCTCTCCACCAGGAATCAGGACATACTCATATACTTGGCCACTGTCACAGTGACCTCTCCCATCACAGCTCCTTCCACAAATGGCCTGCCTGAGTCTGGCTGGGGTGGGCTCCTGCAGTACCCTGGCCTCAGTGACTGCTCATGGCACATGGTAATTAGAGCAGGAATCTTGATTACCTTTCCTACCAAGATGAAAGGCCGGGGCCAAGGTGAGGCAGTGATTTGCCTAGGGCTGAGGAGTATTTCAAGACAGTGCCAGGAACAAGCCACGGGTGCCCCAGGCCCATGCGGACTCTCATCAAGGCAACCTCCTCACAAATTGCTGTCCTCTGTCCATGAAGTCAAATCCCCTCAACCGCACCATGAACACCAGGCCCGGAGGCCTTTTGTAGAGGCAGCAAAGACCTAGCACCAGTTTATGGAGTCGCTTCCCTCTGGCCACAAGCCAGCCCAGAGCTGCCTCATTCTCCCCACCCCAACCAGGCCTGCTCAGGACCACCATGCCAGTCCCATTGTGCCCCCTCAAAGGCAGGTACATTGTTGAGTGAAAACCACCTCAACTTAAACCATACCACAGAGGACCACATGCTGTCCACATACACCACATTGTCCAGAGACACAGACGCCTGTCACACAGAAATGAACAATCACATAGAGACAAAAAGAGAGGGACACACAAGGCATATAGCCAGATGCACAGTCCCACAATGACATGTCTGCTATTAGCAGGAACAGATACGACACAGGAGGAAAATCTAGACTTCTGAGCCATGCAGTCACATGCTTAGTCACACCTGCAGCTGCACAATCACACACCCACCCCAATGCTACACAGTTGCCGAGTCCCAAGCACTTCTGCACTCTCATACAGGTACCCTGGAACACCTACATGCTCACAACCACCAGATTACACACCATCTCCCCAGGGCAGGCACTCCCCATCACACACACCCCCTCACACCTGCGCATCATTCAGGGGCACAGCCACTGCCAGGTCACCCCATTCCAGGCACATGGATCCCGGAGTTGCACTCACAGTCAAGTTTTTTTTGTTCCAGGGCTGGTCTAAAAGCGGAACAAAAGCCCAGTGTCCCCTCCTCCCCTCCCCCCTCCTCTCCCCTTCCTTCTGGCGTCCAGCCCCTTTGTCCTCCTGCAGCAGCTGAGCCTGAGCAGCAGTCCAGGCAGAGCAGTAAGGACATTGGAGTCCAGGCTGCCACTGGTGCAGGCAGAAGGACAGGAGTGGTCCGTGTAAGAGCAGTAGCTGCAAGACACCTGCGAGAGGGTGTGGCCAGGTAAGTGCCAGGTACATCTGGGGTGGGACTTAGGACACAGGGCTGTCCCAGCTTTGTGGTGTCTGTAAATCTGAGCATGTCTGTGTGAGAGAATGTGAGTGTGAAGAGACAGGGTGGCACATCAACTTTTAGGGGCTGGGTCTCTCAGTCTGCATCAGGACCTATGACTTAAGGTGTCAAGACTCTTAGCTGGGATGGGAGAATGCCGGATTATGCTCTGCCTGAAATTCCTACCTTCCATCCTCCAGCTGCGCATCCTCTAGCCCCCAGACTGAGAATCTCCAAGATGGAAGTTGGGTCTGATGTCCCTGTGTGTCCACAGTGCCCAGAGCAGTAGACAGCAGCACAGAATGAATGAAAAAGTACTGGTGCACTTCCCAGGAGGTGACACGCTTGCTCTCTCAGACAGTACCTTCTGCCATGAGACATCTCTGCAGGGGGAAGTCCTTCTTTATGCTGATGAGACCTGCCCTCTTGGATCTCAGTTCAAAGTGCTGCTGCTTTCTCAGTCCGGGGAGAATAGAGTGGGGCAGCATGCTCTAATGACCTCTCTTACTATCCTCCTCTGGTCTTGGGCTGCTCCTTGGGACATGCCCCCACTCTAGCAATGTGGCTGGGCTGCTAGACATGCAGAGTCAGAAGGTAGGTGCAGCGCCCAGCCCCTCTACTTAGGCAAAGTTGTTAACTTCTCGGGAACCTGACCACCAAGAAGCTTGTTTCCTATGATTCTGAAGGGGGACAGATCCACTGCCCAGGATGACCCTAGCATGAGAAGTAAAAGCCAGGCTGACACTGGGCAAGATCTGACCTCCAGGGCAGAATGGTCTTAGAGGAGGCAGAGCAGATGGGATCAGCAGAATGGAGGGACAGGCAAGGGGCAGAGGCCAGAGCTGCACTCCTGTAAAGCAACCACATAAAGGAGTAAGCTTCCTGTCCCTGGAGGTGTGCGAGCTGTATGTTCACAATGGCCAAATCATGACCAGCACCATACAGCCCTGCAGTTTATATAGTGCTTTCACCAACACCCCTCCTTTAATTTTCACAGCAACCTCTGAAGGGCAGGTTCCCTCTGTGTACTTGTTTCCTCAGGCAAAATTAAAAGAGGTTGGGGATCTAAAGAAACTTTTCAGGGCCCTGAGGATCAAATGAAATAATTTATAAAAAAGCAACGAGGTGTACTCCTTTCCTCCTGAGTAAAAACAATGTGAGGAACATTTGCTGCGTTTGTACTTTTGCACCTAGCACTTTTCATATATTCCATTTAAGAGTCACAAAATCACAACTCTGTGGGGTAGGCATTCCCATTTCGGATGATGAAACTGAAAGGGAGTGATTTGCATACGTCACATAGAGAGTCAATGTTAGAGGCAGGATTAGAACCCTGATCAATCTTTAGGGCTGGGCTCTTTCTACTTCCCCACAGTGCTTCCTTGAGAACAGAGGGCCAGTTTGCCTGTCAGCCTGGGCTCTAACCTCATTCCCTCCTTCCCCTTGAGCCTTTGCACAGACTGTTTTCTCAGCTGGAGACTTCCTCCCTCCATTCCCTTCCTGTCACCTGGCTAATTCTACCTATCCTCCTCAGTCTGAAGGTCCCCTCCTCAAGGATGCCTTGCCTGACTCCCCACAACTGGGATTTAGTGCCCCTTCTAAGAGCTCCCTTAATACTCTGTACTTCCCACGGGCCACCAAGCTGTGAGCTCACTGAAGAGAGGGACCAGGAATACCTACCTACCTTGCTCACTGCCTGGCACAAAACATACTTGTTTAATACATTCACTGGACCTTGAACAGGTATTGAGTGCCTGTGCTGTTTGGGGATGGGTGGGTATTAAACGGAACAAAATGTCAGGATTTGCTCAATGGGGAGCACCTACAGGAGATGAGCAGGAAACAGAACAGGGTGAGGAGGAGGTAGAGTTATACCCACACACACACTGGGTCTCTGTGAGGTAGCCTAAATCCCTTGACCAAAAGCTACAGCTCCTATCAGGAGATACTTTGTGCAGGTTCCAGAAGCTTCCCAGCCTTGAAGACCTTTTAGAGGTAAAGGCTCCCTGGAGTTGGTAGCCACGTGGCACGTCTCTATCCCTTGTGTGAGTCCCTAAACACTGTTTATGCTTTTGCAAATCATTTCTTTATTAGAATCTCCTCAAATTACCAAAATTGAGAGCGTGCCATCTGTTTCCTGACGATACTAATCGGAAACAGCTTAACAAATTTGAAGAACAGGAAGGGTAATACGGCTGAAGCGGGTAAGCGAGAAAGTGCTACAGCTAAGGCAGGCCCAAGCCCCTCAGTTAGGCAGGGACTAGATCCTTGCAGCCATTAGGAATCTGGGTGGATGGGTGAATGGAAGGACGAGCAGGTGAATGAATGAAAGCGCAATACTTACATTCATGCAGCCTGTGATGAGGGGCCTCCTGCCTTCTATCAGGCCCCAGCCAGGATTTCCCAACGCTGTTTGTGTTCTCTACCCAGCAGGATGCTGGAGGGAAAGGAGGCGCCGTGCACGGGGTCCTGCCACGCGCAGCGCGTCCTGCAGACCCTCAACGCGTACCGGCGGAGCGGTACCCTCACCGACGTGGTACTGCGCGCCGGCGGCCGCGACTTCCCATGCCACCGAGCCGCTCTCAGCGCGGGCAGCACGTACTTCCGCAGCCTGTTCGCGGCCGGGCGGCCGGAGCGCGGCCTGGCCTTGGTGCCGGTGGTGCCTGAGACACTGAGCGCGGGACCGGAAGGGACTGCAGCAGCGCTGTCTGTGGTGCTAGACTACGTGTACGGCGCGGGAGTGCGGCTGTGCGCGGAGGACGAGGCCGCCGCCGTGCTGGCGCTGGCCGGGCGGCTGGGCGTGGAGGGCCTGCGCGAGGCCTGCGCACGCTTCCTGGAGAGCCGCCTGCGAGCCGCCAACAGCCTGGCGCTACGCCGCGTGGCCACTGCCTTCTCGCTAGCCTCGCTGGCGGAGCGCTGTGGCCGCGTACTGCGCCAGGCCTTCACCGAGGTGGCGCGCCACGCAGACTTCCTGGAGCTGGCGCCGGACGAGGTGGCAGCGCTTCTGGCCGACCAGGCGCTGGGCGTAGCGCGCGAGGAAGCCGTGTTTGAGGCGGCCATGCGCTGGGTGCGTCACGACGCGCCGGCCAGACGCGGGCAGCTGCGGCGCCTGCTGGAGCACGTGCGCCTGCCACTGCTGGCGCCCGACTACTTCCTGGAGAAGGTAGAGGCTGACGAGCTGCTGCGGGCCTGTGGCGAGTGCCGTCCGCTGCTACTGGAGGCGCGTGCCTGCTTCATCCTGGGCCGAGAGGCCGGCGCGCTGCGAGCCCGACCGCGGAGGTACTGATCCCACCGTCGCACGCCCCCTTGCCTCCTGCCCTTCGTTATTCCCGCTTTCTTTAACCACTCATTCATTCCTCCATTATCCTTTGATTCAATTACTTAATCATGCCTCTTGAATGAGATTCATTCATTCATTCAATAAACATTTCATAGGCTTGGTGCTGGGCAGTCTGCCCTTGAAGAGTTAACAAACAATCCAGTAAGGGAGGTGCGGGGATCTCATACCCTATGCACACTCTCTTGCCTATCCATTCATAATTCTGAGTGCTCCCTGTGCAGGTCTTATGCTGGGTGCCTAGCACTCAAGAGTGATTTGGAAACACCCTATGCGTTCCAAGTTAGTAAGGGCTGAAGTTAGTAAGGCATATAAATAGCCTGGAACATCACACTGGGAGACTCTGCGGTGAATTAGTCCAAGGTGGTCTATCATCCTCCCAGAGATAGAAGACAGGGACTCCTCTGTCTTACCACTGTATCTCCAACACTAAGCACAGGGTCTGGTACAAAGAAGATGCTCAATATTTGTTAAAGGAATTAGTAGGAAACCAATGATTTTCTAAAACTAAAGGGTTTGGGAATTCTGGTGGGGTCAGAAGCTCAGTGGGAGGAGAGAATGCTTTGCGGAAACGGGGCATAGCCTGGTTCAATGGGATTAGTGATTAGCGTATGGGTTTAGGAGCTGCTTATAGGAGGAGGGAGGCAGCAGAATTAGGTCACAGAACCATGAAGAGAATGGGTTAGCGTCAGACAAATTTGAGTTTGAATTCCAGCTATTTCACTTGCTTACATGACTTTGGATAAGCTGAAGTTGGAGCCTCAGTTTCTTTTGTAAAAGGAGTAATAATTCCTGCCCAATAGAACTGGTATAAAGATTAAACTAGATAGTTTTTCTAAGTAAGGTTAAGGGCCTATGTAAAGATTACTTCTGTAACTAAGAGGTCAGTAGAATGGAGGTAAGGATTAGTGACCCTCGTGCCATCAATACTCAGAGGGAAGGTTGAGGGTGACAGTGTCCAGCATGGGGGTTACAAAGGGGTCAAAAGGGCATGGAAGGGTAGTAGGATGGTACAGTGTGGGCAATAAGAGGGTGAGAAAGGAGCAAAACTTGAATATGGATCAACGGATATTGGGCTTATCCCCACGCCAGATTCATGGATCTCGCTGAAGTGATCGTTGTCGTTGGTGGTTGTGACCGCAAGGGGCTCCTGAAGCTGCCCTTCGCAGATGCCTACCACCCGGAAAGCCGGCGCTGGACCCCACTACCCAGCCTGCCTGATTACAGGCGTTCAGAGTTTGCCACCTGTGCTCTCCGCAATGACATCTACGTCTCTGGTGAGGACAGGGCTGAAGTAGAAGCCCCACAGGATTGGCTCATCACCTCCCTTGAACCGCCCCTTTGCTTTTCCCTCCAACTGGGAGATAGGGGCGGGATTTTTCCTGATACCCTACAGTTATTGGCTGAAACGGTATGTAGTCTTGCTGAACCAGTCACTGGTGTGACCCCCTTTATTTGGTAAAGAGAGGTTAAGAATTTCCCCACTGTCTCAAAATTGGCAAAGCTAGGAAGAGCACAGATCTGTCTGATACCAACATACTGTGCCCTCCCGAGATTCAAGCCCTAGAAACTCAGAACAAAACACAGTCCCTGCTTCCTGGAATATCCTAGAGAGGGGAACACAGACTTCACTTTACCACCAGGCAGAATTTGATGGGGAATCCCACTAGGGGAATTCTGCTCAGGGAATCTGGCCCAACTTGGAGGGAACAACATAGCCAAAGGCATGAAAGTGTGGAAAGGAACTCAGGGTATTAAGGGTTCTAAAATGCAGACTGAGTGTGTCTGGGAGAGGAGGGGAAGCCACTGTAGATGAGGCAGGAAAAGGAGTCTGGAGTCAGATCAGAGAGGCTTCAACTCCAGGCCTAGGTAGACTGCACTTGATGTTGTAGGGAGCTATGGCTGCTTGGGAAGGATGAGTAGAAGAATGAGCCAGGAAAACCTCACGGACCATCCAGGCTACACTTTATCACTGACTAGCTTATCCGAGGCCACTGATGGCCTTTGAGCAACATGTGAGGCCTCTGCTGGGTGCCACTGGAAATACAGAAGCAAAGACTACAAAATAGATGTGGCTCAGACTAAGGGATGCAGTCAAGATTGTCCCTGGGGAGGCTACTCCTGAGATGTCAATACCTAATCAGGAACCCCGGGGCAGCCAGATGGGGGGCACCCCACAGCCTGCATCTCCCAGTGCTTGACCCATGGGGTGTGCTGTATCCTTCACTAGCACCAATGTTGGGTTTGAGGGCTGGAAGCTCTGGTTCTGATCAGTGCTCTGGCAGTGAAAGGCCATGTGATCTCCAACAGGTCCTTCCTGATGTTTTAAGCCTCATCTGAGTTTCCTATTTGTAAACTCGGTACAATAATCCCAATACCTCACAGAGGGAAGAGAATAGACATGGAGTCATGAAGGTGAAGGCAGAAGTGAGACATGATTATTGGGTCACCCTCTACTCCTCCCCATCCTAGTGCAGTTGGCTCTGCTTTCTCTCTGCCTCCGTGCATTCCTGACGCTTGTCTGGGCACCCTTTGCACTCATACCTTCAGTAGAATTCTAAAGTGCCCCCTTCTTTGTCTCACTGAGCACAGAGCCTGGCACCTCACCAGAAGGCACCCAGTAAAGATTAATTCCTTCTCCCTGAATCTCTCAGGCCTCTCCCCTCAAGAGTCCCTGCCTGTTGTTTTAATTCAGACCTTCCCAGCACTTGTTCAAAGCACACAGTCTGGGTCAAAGGCCTGAAGTCTCACTTGAGCCCAGAAGGATGTCCTTCCTGCTGTCTACTCTTAACCCTTCCTTTGGATCTAGAGGCCACAGCTGTTTCTCTCTCCCCAGGAGGCCACATCAACAGCCGTGATGTATGGATGTTTAGCTCCCATCTACACACCTGGATCAAGGTGGCCTCACTGCACAAGGGCAGGTGGAGGCACAAGATGGCCGTCATGCATGGACAGGTAGGGGATATGCAGCAGCTGCGACCCTGATGCCCAAGGTATAGATCTATAGATATCCTTAGGGAAGGCCCTCTAAGACCCTCTCTTTGTAAGAAGGGATCTAAGGCCTCAAAAAGGAAAGGACTTGACTAAGATCACATAATAATGCTAATAGTAATTACCGTAATAGTATAGCCTAGTGGTCAAAGGTTTGAATCTTGACTTTGCCACTTAAGACCAAAAAACCCTACAGAACTGCCAATTATCTTTGTAAGCTGCATCCCCAAATTAGAAATGCAAATAAAAGTGCTTCTTAGAATCATTTGGGTAAGGTAGTAAACCCTTAATTACTAGCTATTACTTAGCATCAGCTTGGGGCCAAGTTTTTACAGATCATCTCAGCATTCAGTACCCGTCTTATCTCCTGCTAATGAGAAGAAATCTGCTAAGGGAGGTTCAGTAACTGGGATTCTCTCTGGGTAGGTCTGGCCCTCATACTGGAGTGGGATAGCTTCCATCTTGGCACTGGGGCCAAGATGCAGCTGGCCCTGACTCTGGGCGGGCCCTGTCCTAACCTGCAGCTTTTTGCCGTGGGCGGCTTCGATGGCCTGCAGCGCCTGTGCAGCGTGGAGCGCTACGACCCCTTCTCCAACACCTGGGCGCCTGCAGTGTCTCTCCTGGAGGCTGTGAGCTCTGCTGCTGTGGCGTCCTGTGCCGGCCAGCTCTATGTGATCGGGGGTGCCGGGCAGGCTGGCATCAGCACAGACAAGGTGGGCATGGAGAGGGTACTGGGGGCCTGCTGTGTTCAGGCCTTGAGCAGGCACATTCCTGTCCTAGTCCATTTTCTCACTTTATCCTGTCAACAATCCTGAGGAGTAAGCCCCATGTTTGAGGCAAGACAGTGAGTTCAGAGATGACTCCAAGGTCACACAGTTGGTCAGCAGCACAGCTGAGCCCAGATGTTTGGCTTGGGTGAGGGCAACAGTGGGATTAAAATGTTTCTCTGCCATTCAAAAAAATAATACACAGATGTGGTTCCATAGTGTAGTGGTTAGCACGTCTGTTTTCCACGCAGAAGGTCCTGGGTTCGTGCCCCAGTGGAGCCACGGTCCATGGTCTACAGCCATGCCACCCTAAACAAACCTGATGTCTCATCTTGGAAGCTAAGCAGGGTCAGACCTGTTTAGTACTTGGATGGGAGACCACCTAGGAAGACCAGGTGCTGTAGGCATAAATCATAATAAATAATTAAAATAACTCATAGAAAATTTAGAAAACAAGAGAAACAGAATAACAATAACCCATAATTCCCCCTACCTCAGGATAACTACTATTAATATTTTGGTGCATTGCCTCCAGCCTTCCTTTGAATTGACTTTCGCTTTTCTGTTTTAGTTTTGTGTTCTGTTAGTAAAATTTTGCATTCTTTTTATTCTTCAAGTAGAAACACTTTACACATACTTAGCAGTTTTTCACAGCCATCATTTCAGTGTCTGTAATATGCCACTGAGAAGATGAACTATAGTCTACTAACTTAATTTTCTGTTGTTGGACATTTAGGCTTTTTGTGAATAAAATCGTAACAGCTCTCTCCCACCCCTGATGGCTTCTTTGCATCTTTCCAAACTAAGATCACTCGCCCCTCCTTATCCCCTGACTTCATTCCCCCTGCACACCTTCCTGGGGCTGGCTGTGGAACTGCCCCATTTAGTACCCTTTCATGCAGCACTGTTTGTTATAGGCCATTTTTTTGGAGGCGGGGAGGGGGCGGGGTCTCCAACGAAACAATGGAAACGGAGTAAAGGTGAGCAGGCAAGAACAGGTATGAACCCTCAGGAGTTGTAAAAGGCGTCTTAAACACCTATGGGACAGGGAGGCCTGTGGACAGCTGTAGGAATGTGAGCAGCAAGACACTTCAGCTGGAATCTTGTCATGACCTCAGAGCACCAGGAAGAGGGAAGAGGGTTGATTGACGAGTGACGATGTTTGCAGCCAGGAACATATCTCCATGGGGACCTGCTCTGAGGACCCTCTATAGTGCTAATGCAGATGGTACCTCCATCTCCTGGGATGGAGGCCTCTCCTTGGACCTTGAAAAATGAGGAAGCTTTCGACACAGGGAGTCCAGGGGTAGGGGACAGAAGATGGAAGTAGACTGAGCATACTTGAGGGTAGGGACAGTGGATTTCCTCTAATCTCCTAGATGCTAGCTCAGGTCTATGGGACAGAGGCACATGTTGTGTTGGATGAGTTCCTCTGACAGAGAGAGGTGGGAGTGCATGGGCAACAGGGTGGTTGTAGGGTAGGGCTTCACCACTAATGATCCTCCTGCCCCCCAGGTACAGTGCTTTGACCCCAAGGAGGACCGGTGGAGCCTGCGGTCACCAGCGCCCTTCTCACAACGATGTCTCGAGGCTGTCTCCCTTGAAGATACCATCTATGTAGTAGGGGGCCTCATGAGCAAAATCTTCACCTACAACCCTGGTACAGACGTTTGGAGGGAGGCAGCTGTGCTCCCCAGCCCTGTGGTAAGTGGAGACCTTTAGGGATGGCCCTGGTAGTGCTTCCATTGAAGAGAGGGAAGACTTACTTCTAACGATCTGGATCTTGGAGGTAGTAAGTCTTGTGTCTGACCCCATGCTAGGTGGTTTTACATAGTTCTCTAGCTTTGTCCTTACAATGATAATGAGCCCTGCATTTCACAGAGACTAGTCTTGGAGAGACTGAAGCTCCAGTCCAAGGCCACCAATTACATCATGTAAAGGCAGAGCCTGGACCCCCAGTCCCAAGTGCTATAGCCTTGGATGGGAGGCAGGTCTAAATGACCCTGCACTTTCACCTGTTTTAGGGCCACTAGCTGGTAGCCTTCTGTGGGAGTTTGTGGGGCATGGAGAAGGGACTTGCTAAATTACCCTGCCCCAGTGATATCAGAGAAGGGAGGCCCAGGCCCCAGATGCTCTGGCCTCTGTATGCCTTGCCTCTCCCACCTTCTGTCACCTCTCCTGAAACTCTGGAGAGACTATATAGGGGTGTGGTTACACTGGTGGTCCCTACCACTTCTGACCTTCATTGATTCTAAGAGCATGAGATTTCTGGTTTCTCTGAGTCTGAGATCCTAAGATGGCGGTCATGGTCATTGTTGTTATTGAAGTACTTACTGTATTCCAGGCACTATGTTAAATGCTTTACATGCTTAACCCCATTAACTGTTAAGGGAACCTTATGATAAAGGTACTATTGTTCTTCTCACTTTTAAAGAAACCAAGGTCCAAAGAGGTTAAGTGACTTGTCCAAGGCTATTCATTTAGTAAGTGTCAAACCAGAGCTTCCTGCCTTCTATCCAATTTCTTGTCTCTCTACCATCCAGATTACATGCTCATATTCTGTGGGTCAAGGTTTTGTTGTCTGGCCTGGCCAGCCAGGGATAAAGGGAGCCCCAGGCTGGACCCCATAGCTGATTGTCTTTCTGTTTGTCCATCCAGGAGAGCTGTGGCGTGACTGTGTGTGACGGGAAGGTCCACATCCTTGGTGGGCGGGATGATCACGGGGAAAGCACCAATAAGGTCTTCACCTTTGACCCTAGCAGTGGGCAGGTGGAGGCCCAGCCGTCCCTGCAGCGCTACACCAGCTCCCATGGCTGCGTCACCATTGTCCAGAGCCTGGGCAGGTGACTCAGACTTGGACAGCCTAAGTTGGGAGGCAGAGAAAAGAGGGAGAACTCAGGCTCACTACTCTGCTTCTCGCATGGCACCTCCATGGAAATAGCCCCTTGTCGCTCGCCCCCTTTTTTGTAGAAATAAAACCTCATTCAAAGGTTTAGTCTGTGTTCCAGCTCAAGCCTGCTTTTCCTGGAGAAGTATCAACTCCCTGCTTTGACTCTGTAAAGCACCTTCATACGTTACCTCATTTATTTTCATAATAGAAGTGTGGACTTTTTTTTAAATTATGAAATATTCCATGCATAAAAGAATATATATTTTTTGTACAGTTTAAGAATAAAATGTGTTCTTAACACATAGCTTAAGAAATAGAACATTACAAATGTCTTTTTAAGCTCCAGTGTCTATTCTCAAACCCATGCCCTTCCCACACTCCTCCCAGAGGTAATCACTATCCTCACTTTGAGATTATCAACACTTTTAGCCAGAAAATTATTAGTATCTGTATTTTACAGAGAAGGCTTTGCTTTGAAAAGGTAAGGAGAATCACCCAGGGCAACATATTTAGTAAGTGGCAGAGTCTTTGATTCTTAAAATTTCATGAATCCTCAGGATCAATGAGGCACTTGTGGTCAAGATGGTTCTCTCTTTCTAAACCAACCCACTCCAATTCAAACACCTAAGCAATGACAGACAAATTCAAAGCCAGACAACTGAAAAGACAGAGGTATGGGCTCATAGGTAAGCAAACATGACTAAGGACCAAAAACAACAGAATTGCAAAACCAAGAGGAAAGCACAAGTTTGAGCTCTGGGGTTCAGGCTCTGTGGGATAAAGGCCTTTAAAAACAAGATTCTAATCCAGGCTCATTGCTAGAAGCCAAGGCCAAGGCCACTCAGGAAAGAAGCTGAAACAAAACAGAACCTGAATAGCCTTGGGGTCCGAGGCTTACAGCAGAGTGGTAGGCACCAGAGCCATTGCCAGCCAGGCTCTGCATCTGGACCTGTGAGACCCCCAATGTCCATAGAAGGGCACAAGTCTCTGATGCCATTATAAGCACCTTGGTTGGCCTGTGGCTCTAGGGATAGCAACATAAAACTGCCAGATAAGGAGGGGTGAGGTCAGAGGATAAAGGGAACAAAAGATGCCATAAACAGATTCTGTGAGGTGGAGGCCCAGCAGTTCGGGTTCTGTGCCTGTATTTTTAAGGCCCGGACCCGATGGAAGAGCTGGCCAGACTCCATCTGGGGCTTCCTCTCATTTGCACTCAGATTGCCTTTTGTAGAGCTATCATCTGCTCCTTGCAACTCCCCCAGCACAGAGCCAGCCCCCCGCCCCTCCCATCTTCCAAAGCCCCAGGGCTGTTCTGCAAGATCTTGCCAGCTGGGGTTGACCCTTCATAGCCCAGCACAAAGGCCCAGGTCCCAGCTGAGCTCCTACTCTCTGATTATCCCAGATTAAGGAGCCTGTGACCATCTGGACACAGCTGATAATGGCAGAGGGAAGAGGGGAATGCAGTGGAAGCCTAGCCCCTCAGAACCTGCCTGCTCCCACCCCATGGTTAACACCCACTACAAATCAAAGGTGGTGCTATATGGCTTGCCTAACCCACCAAAAGCCCAGAGAAGAAGATAGGGATAAATCCAGGGCAAGCTCTCCCTAAGTACATGGGCATCTCACCAGGGATGGGCAATTTCTGTGTGCCAAGCAGACTGTGCATGCCCCCAGTGCTCTTTCATGCAAGTGCTGATGCCCTTTCCTGCTGTCTGGGCAGAACCAACACCCTCTACTCCCAGAGTTTATTTACCACTTTCCTTCTAGCCCTTCCTTATCTGCCTCTCTTCTATCATATGACATATGGTCAGGTCTTTGTGTCTCCAGTCTCCCAGCACACCCATTTGCCCTTTGAGGCAGGATAGGTGTCAACTACATCTGTGTCTCCCAGTGCTCAAAATAAAGCCTCCCACTGAATACATTAAATCTAAGTTCCTTGGTTTTCTACTTTAGAATACCTGTGAGTTGGTACTAATGCCCACCTCCCTCCTTCACAAATGAGGAAACAGATTGAGCTGTGAAGTGACTTGCTTACTAAGGTCACTGAGCTGGTGATGGTGGCAGAGCCGGGATTCCAACCTGGGCTCAGTTATCTCCAAAGCCTGCTCCTTCCCTCCTGCAGCCTCACCCAGGCTCTGCTAATCTGAGAAAGTGAATCAGAAAATGGGTGCTGAGTAAAGAACAGTTGTTGTTGAAAAGGAGATACATCGTTTTCATCATGGGAAATCCCAGCCTGATAGAATACTGTTCCTGCCCTTAGGGCCCTCCTTGGATGAGGGGAGACAGGGTTCATGTCTCTGGTGAGTGAAGCTCACAGAAACACAAGTAAAAGATGACACCCCATATGTCCTAATTTCCTAGGACTATTGTTTAGACCCAGTATATTGGTCTCTTGGTTTACGTAATAATCCATATGTGGAAGGTCCCCCTGGCTCCTAGTCCACTGCTTCCCCACCACAAAACCAGAGCATGAATCCTGAGCATGGCCCATCAGCCATGCAGGTTTGCCAAAACAAAGACTTGACTCTTGGTATGCCATCAGAAGCCACTGGAGCCAAATTTAGTCTGAGTTTCTTTTTGAGCAGTTCCTATTATTTGTAAGGTTAATATTTTATGACTTATTCTTTCTTAGTGGGCTTCTAAGGAACGAGAAAATTTATTTATTTGGACATTCTTCAAAGTTTTCATTAACTTCAAGTCAAATTCCCACAACTGTTTCCTGGTCAATTTACTATACTTGCTTGACTTCCCAAAATGGTAGTACCAAAAGATGTGGGTCAGGGAGACCTTTTTAAGCAGCACTGCATTTATTCATCTTCAACAAGGCATAAGAGTAGGGCATCTGTTCAACAAAAACAAAGCTTTAACAGCATTTAGGAGGGCAGGCAGGCAAAATCAGACCAGAGAAAACCTACTCCACACAGATATGAAAGGTATCACCATTCACCTTTTTTCTGTTGCTGCAATTTTTCTTCTTTTAATTATATCATGTGGTTTCTCAAGTCCTTCCTTTAGTCCATCTCCTATGATTGCACAGGTGGGCTGCACAGTTCACTCACTGCTGACAATTTCTCAATGAGTTCCTCAGGACTTGTTAGCAACTATTAGTACAGGAACTCCTTGGTTTTCTCATATCCTAGTTATTTTATGAAGTTAAGTTTTGGCTTTTTCCATCCTTTCAACAGCAACAGAGTCTACAACAAACACAATGCCATCTTTGTATCTGGTCTATGACTTCCACAGTGGCCTTAATTTTTCCTGACCATCTACTTCCCAGAAGTGAAAAGTGACTGTTTTAGAATTTCCCAAGGTTACCTTAATTTTTTATTAAATCCTTTGGTAGGTACGGTATTTACAAATTCATTGAACTGCTGCCTGTATGATACAGCTGTCTTTCCGGCACAGTCCGAACCCAGAGTAGCAATGTGGAAGGACTGAAATGAAGGCAGGCTGGACAGAGAAATTACTGAAAGTCTGACAGTATTCAAAATTGACCTGCTTTCTTACTGCTTTAAAATTTCTCTTCTTAGGGGATCTAGCTACAAGACCCCCAAATTGGAGTCTGGGTCCAAGCAAGAAAGCTTTGGTAGGCGTTTCTATGTGGTGGGGGGATGCACCCTACATCCGCTGAGCTTAGCTCTCCATACAACTCTTTACTTACTTAAAAATAGAATAAAACTCATTCTGTCTTGCAATCACCATATTTGGATTCTTTTATAAATCTAAAATACATTATGAGATCTTGATGAATTTATTTTTCCTATATCTTGAAAAACTTATTTCATCATCCTAAAAATTAGTTCATATTACTCAATTATTCCCAAAGATGCCAAATAAGAGTAAGAAAATGGGAGAATGATGGTATTGCCAATAGATCGATGCAATGAAATAAATGTCACTATTACATCATCCTTCAGTTTCTATATTGCATTGCTCAAAGTATTATCTTTCAAGAAGGTATAAGTCTAGAAACATCAGTTAAGAGTTCAGGATTTTTCACTTTTCACCCATAATGACAGAAGAAAATTGACAAAAGACATTTCACACTTATTATTCAAATTAGAAAATGAATGCAGAGGTACATAGCAGTTCTCTAGTCTCTAAGGATGAGGAGGAAATTGGTCACATAAGGAAAATCCTTCCTGGATCAATTTTCTCAAACTCACAAATTTGTGTATGAATATTTCTAAAAACTGAAAGAAAATATGGTATTTTAAGTCATTAAGGCATTCAACAGGAAGGATTTTTATGACAAAAACCTGGACCATCCTGCTTTGCTAAAAGGTGGTGTGACAATGTTCTTTCAACTTCTATGATGGTTATGCCCCCAAATTTACTTGACACAGTGTGTTATACTTCATAAGTGGAGATATACTTCAGATAGTTGTGTACAACCGTGACTGACTGGAGGGAAACATGCAGAAAGTTTTTTTTTAATTCATTGGTTTGGTCATTCTCATAAACCTAAAAATGAAAATGTTTTAAAATTATGGAGCAAAGACAATGGCTGTCCTTTTTTTCACAAAATTATAAGTCATCAAAAATATTCCATATTAACAATGCAAGTACAAAACTAAAACAGAAAACCCCCAGAAGCAATGATAAACTTGAGCCTGTGAGAATGTACTTGAAATCTGGAATCAGTAGTTACATGACTAAGTTCCAGCTTTACACATGGCATTGCATTCAAAGTAAGTTGCTCATTTTGGGTATATATACCTTCAAGACCAGGAAAATTTGAACTTTTTTAACTTATATATATATATATATATATATGCATACACACATTTCATATATGTATGATGAGATAATTCACATACCACAAGTCACCCATTTGAAGTTAATCGTTTTTAGTATATTCAGAGTTGTACTAACAGTTAAAATTTATGTTGTTTTTCTTTATCCTTTTCTTTTGTAAATTATTTATAAAATGACTTAAAATATAGGGGTAAATGGTGATGATTCTTTTTCTTGGTATACAGTGATCAAAAGATCCATCTCCTTTGGTCCCCTTCCCTCTATGTAAAAGTGGCTCTATTACCGTCTGTGCTCTCCCTTCCCCTCCAAAAAAGCAAAAATATTCTTAAAGGCCAGGAAAGCTCTACCCTCTCTCTAGGCAATATAGAAGAATCAAAGGGTCCAGTTCCTCTGGCTCACCACACAGAGGGCTGCCTGGTGCAGGCTGTCATGGAGGCAGATGATGGTCCACCAGTGAGGGCAGAATGAATCCATCACAGGAGTCCTCCTTGCACAGTGGACAAAGGCAGGCTGCACCTGGTTGGCTGAGCTGGTACAATACAGGACTGAACAGCAGAGGCTCAGTGGTTTCATCTGAATTTCAGAGCTACTGGGCTCCATTTTATTTGTGATCAGATAAGTTGTTCCCAGCTTAGAGTACAGGATCAGATAAGTTGTTCCCAACTTAGGGTCTCATGTTACTTGTCCTCAAATCAGAAGTGAGAATCCTGATACTCTAAAGATTTTTCAATGCCTAAGAGAAATCACATATTCCCCTGAGATGTATTATATGAATTAATTAAAATTGCTGTAAAATGATGTTAGTAATGCAATCTGCCCATTACAGAGATGTTGGGAAGATTATATGTGATATGCTCACAGCATGCTCAGGGAACATGACAATTATTTTCGCACCATGGTCATTCTGCTCATCGAGCTATAAATATAGTTTTAATAACAAAAATGGAAATGGTTTGTTTCAAACATTAAGTAACATAAAAAATCTGATGTCCTTGTGGAACACAACACCAAGAAAAACAATCTTTGACGTTTAAAATGTTGACTCTGAAGGGTACATAAATGTTTTCCTGCTCTGACGTTGGCAGGCTCTGACATACAACAGCTGCATTTACACACAGCAACATTAGAGCTCTGAAACAACCACTGGATGGTACATGGAACAGTAAAAGGCCAAGTTCACCACCTGTAAAATGGATGGTACATGGAACAGTAAAAGGCCAAGTTCACCACCTATAAAATGAGGACACCTGCTCAGCTATGCCCACTTCACAGTAGAAGCAGAAAGCACAGTCTCTGTCCCTGTGGTCAGGTCTCTTTATAGTTAGGATTGGGAGAATCTATTACCATGTTAGTTTTAATGATTTCCAAGAGAATATCCTTAATTAACAACTAGCATTTACTGAGCACTTAGTATGAGTTAGGACTTGTGCTAAGAACTCTACATGTAGGTGAGCAAATTAAGGTAGAGATATAACTGAAGTGCCCATGCTCATACTGCTAAATTATAGACATGGTTTTAAATGCAGAGTCTGATCTGAAGGCCTAGACTTTTAACTGTTGTCTCCAAAGATAACATTAGATGCTAAATACTAGAGAAGAGACATGTATTGGCATTTAGGTATCTTTTAATTCCCACAGCAGCCCCGTGAGATAACTAAGGATTAGAAAGGTCCAAAGTCAGCCTCTCAGTGAATCAGTTCTGGTGCCAGGATTTGATCCTAGGTTTCTGATTGCAAAGCCCAGATTCCCAACTTTAGTCCCCTTTGTAAAATGCTCTGCAGAGAAAGGCATCCTCCGCCCCACCCCATTCCTGGCTGACAGCCTCATAGCCTTTGCCTAACTTCCCAGCTAGAGTGGGGAAGGCTGGCTGACTGGAGGTCTGTGGCTGGTTTCTTAGACCTGCCCTTGGGAATGTGAAATCATAGCTAGGGGACGGGGACAGGATCCACAGATTATGACTCTGCTGTGAGATCTAGCAGCCTTTGCAAGTTATTTGCAAGCCGAGATTCTGGAGGCAGAAAACCCCACCTCCAAAAAACCCTTCAACCACTTTCCTCTGATCCCCTTCCCTCCCATTCCTGTGTTCTTTTCCTGGTTCTCCAGTGATGTCTGTTTGTCTCCAACTCTTGCTTGCCCTCTGGGTCTATTCCCAAGTTCTCAGACTTCAGCAGGTGTTCTTTCCTTGCCTGATGGATCAGCTCCCAACTTGTTTGAGGCCCCATCACCAGCTGCCACATATCCTAATGACCCGAACCTAATTCTTCAAAGACTGGCAGTTAACTTTTTGGTGAAATCCATGAAAGGCTTCAGTACTTGCTTCCATACTGCCAACAGCCATATTTCTACCAATGAGTCCTAAGGGCTGTTTCACAAATTTTGGCTGCCCAGCATCAATATCTTGCCCACACTGAGAGGAGCAATGTGTAAATCTGGACCTCGCCTCCACTGTGAAAGCCAAAGGGGCCAGCTATCTCTTTCCTCACTTTTGGCAGCTGGGTCAGATACTAGACTTGGCCAGTGAGATGCTCATACCTGGAAGCTTGACTTTCAAGAAGTGATGTAGAGAAAAGGACAGCTGAAAAATTCACTGGGAGAACCTGGGGGATGGTGGTGATATCTCTGGGTAGCTTGCATCTCTTGATGGGCTGTGGTTACTGAGTGCTCACCTAACCTCTACATTAATTTTGTGTGGTTTTCTGAAATAGTCTTAAAAATCTCTCCCTTTTATGTAATGGCTTTATCTTAAAGCCTTTTTCTAAGCAATATAAATACAAGGGTATTTCAAGCTGTACACTAATTTGCATACTTTTCTGCATGCGTGTTAACAGTCCCTGACTTACAATTGTTCAACTTATTTTTTCAACTTAATGATGGTGCAAAAGCAATTCAGTAGAAACTGTACTTCAAACTGAGTTTTGATCTTTCCAAGGCTAGCAACATACAGTATGATACTCTCGGGATGCTGGGCAGTGATGGTGAGCTGCAGCTGACAGTGAGCCACACAATCATGACGATAAACAATCAATACTCTGTAGTGTCCTGTGTTGTTTTTTGGAGTGTTTTGTTTTCACATCTCATCATGTCTACAAAATGCCAATCTGTTTCCTGCTTCTGGTGAGATGAAACTCAAGATAACTGCAGAACTATAGGTTAATGTAAGTATCCTGAGCACGTTATAAGGTAGGCTAGGCTATGAAATTTCGTTGGTTAGGTGCATTAAATACATTTGATTTATAATATTTTCAACTTATGATGGAGTTATCTGGACATAACTCCATTTTAAGTCAAGGAGCATCTCTACTTCAATAAATTTATTCTTCTCTTCCCAAGATGCTACTTTGGCGCACATTTTTTTGTTACAGCATCACCTGTGGGAAGTTAACAGCACTACTGAACTACAGACTAACTTCCAATTTTAGTGGACTGAGCTTTGCAGAAAATTCATTAGGAAAGTTAGGAATTTAAAAGATCACCTAATATAATATATGAAGACCTGTGACTGGCTGTTAGTACTAGATGCTAAAATCCTAGAGGACCAGGATTGTCTTAACCTGTTGCTAGCACTCAGCCCTGTGGATGATCAAATTAGCTGAACTAGTTTCACTAAAAAATACTCTCACAACCAAACTACGCAAGTCCAGAAATACAGGAATAAAGTAACTTAGCTCAGTTCAAACACATTTCCAGTAAACTGCAAAATGTCAAGAGTTTTACCCACAAGGGATAAATAAAGCCTTATAAAGGGGAGTACCTCTATTGAGATGTGGTCTCAATTCCATCAATACTGACAAAGATGTTAACTATACAAAGTCAACATAAACATCAAAGGCTTTTTTAAAGTGGGGGGAGGGGGACCCAGAGATAACATATCAGTGCACTCCCAACATAATTAATTTTCTCATATATTAAGCCCTGTCCTCGTGCGGCTCACAGTCTAGTCAAGAAGACAACCAAATAATCAGAGCACCCACTAGGCAGTCTTGTGAAGCCAGGGTATTTCGCAGCCAGGCTTCATTACCAGGATGATGTGGCTACCCGAGTTGGCCTTCCAGGACCGTGAAAGCTGTCACTAGGAAGGAAGATCCCCTCTCTGTCATAAATCAATCTAGTTATGTCTTGTAGAACTATCATGCCAGTCTGTCCCTCACTAGTTTCACCCGAGTATACCAAGAACACCCAACTACTTTGTAAAGACATCAGTAGAAAACACTTCAAAGTATGACAGATAAAACGGTAGTCAACTTAAATGTTCTTTCCTTCTATGCTTGAAGCTCATCAACAATGGCAAATTCTCTTTACACTTTAGAGATGTTGAGGATTAAATGAAAAAGTATGTGAAGCACAACACCCAGAGCATAGTACAACCCAAACCATAATGACCAGTGTATTTATTTTCTATCTGCAATGTAGATTCCCTTATGCATCAAGGAAATCATCTTACAAATATCCCTCTTCTAAACCTATAATCCTGAACTACAAATGAGTTGATCAGCCCTCACTGTCTCCATTTACCCCCAACAGGGTATCTCTCTGGTTAGCTCTGCTTGGTCTGCCTGTTCTGGCACTGCCTCATTAAGTGCAGTTGAAACCAAGAGGATTTCAGGGAAACAACAGAACACTATGAGCCAAGCAACTCTAAGATCAAGTAATGCTCCAATGGGGCGACATGACCCTCAGTCTGAATACTGGATGTACAGTCTAATCAGGCCATGCATATTTTTAAAGGATTTTATTTAAAGGTCTTTATAGAGCAACATCCAGACTCCAGATCCAGCTGCCAAGGAGACCCTAAAACCAAATAAAGCACAACAGTAAGAAACGAAACTTCATCTGAGTATGGGGCTCTTCCATTTACTAAATGGGTATACACTCCCACTCATAGAGTTTGCATGTAGATTAGTAAGCACACACAAAACATTTAGAAAAACAAAAGGTGTTCTGTTTCAAGGGGGTTGCTTAAGGATAATTACTAGCAAGAGTGCTTTGAAATATCTGAGCAAATAAGGGAGGACAATAGGGAAAATTCTTATTTCAAACACTCCTAACAGCCTGGGTTCAAAGGACCATTTGGCTCTAACCTGCGTTCTCCCATGTAAATCCCATTATTGCTCACCAAGTGCTTACTAGAGAGACACAAAGGAATAGGGTCCTATTCTGCCCAAGAGGCTGCTACAGACATACCTGTTATGCTGTGGGTACTGGCTGGGGCATGGCAGGTGGCTCTGGCTTCCCACCCTTCTGTTCTGAGATGGGAGTGGTGGGCAGTATCTCATCTTTGGGTTCCACAATGCTCACATGGTCAGGCAGAGGCTTCTTAGGGCCAATCTTACCACTTGGGTCCCAAGGAAGCATGATCTTCACTTTGATGCCCAGCACACCTAGAGGATAGGATCATGGTTAGGACCCAGCTGTGGTTTCACCAGCCACCGCCCTACACAATAGGATAGGGTAGAGGAAGAGAACATTAAGCTACTTTAGCATCCCTGGTTCTGGTCCCTTCTCAGACAAATGCCTCTAATCAATCAATGAACAGGACACTTTTGCAAAAGGAACCCATGTACAGTGCCACAGAACGTTGCACCTACACGGACCAAGAGCAAGATATGACCTTTCTGACTCGTCATCGTGTCATCACTGAAGGGTACACAGGTGGCTGAGACAAGGACAAACCAATGCTTGGATCTGACTGATCTCTCAACAATTTACTTCTTACAGTTTAGTGCAGCTAATCAATTAATCCAAGGAGTACAAACATGTTCTGCTACTCCCAAAATGAATTCCCCAAACACTGAGGCATGTATGGAAAACCACACCTATCCACTAAGAAGACCCTTTGCCCAAACCCTGGCTGCTCGAGGCATGTATGGAAAACCACACCTATCCACTAAGACCCTTTGCCCAAACCCTGGCTGCTTACCCTGCCTGAGCAGCACATGGCGTACGGCAGTGTCAACGTAGTAGTTAACGGGGTCCCCACTGTGGATCATCAGACCATCGACAAACTTCATGGATTTAGCTCTCTGTCCTCGGAGTTTCCCAGACACCACAACCTCGCAGCCCTTGGCCCCACTCTCCATGATGAACCGCAGTACACCATAGCAGGCCCTTTGGGAGAGTAAGAGACAGATATCCACTTATTACCAAAGACAGAATCACCCAACCCCACCCCCATTAAAATAAATAAAGACTACACAGTTTTCAATGTTCCTTTAACAGAGAATATATCTGACCAGAGCCTGGTCCAAAAGAAAAATTTTCTTCCACTTCCATAAAACCTAATCTTAGGCTAATTCCTTCTAACCAAATGTTTTCCAACAATGGCTGCACATTAGAATCACCTCAAGATTAAAACAAAAAACAAAACAACCCCCATTCCCACCCCTGAAGCCTAGGGCCTATGCCAGGCCAATTGACAATTTGGGAAGGTAGGCATGGTACAGCTCAGGCATGGGTATTTAAAAAATACTCTCCAGGCGATTCAACCAAAATTGAGATCTTAAAGCCATAGTTATCATGCTGATTTGCCAGCTGATTATCACCCTCCATCATCCTGGAGCAAGCCTTTCCAGTCGAGTCCATCTCTGCCAACTCAGGATTTCTGAATCAGGCAAACAATCAGTAAGAACCCAGAAGTATCGCAGTTACTGAGCGACCCCTTTTATGGTTTACTAAAATATTCCTCAATCTCCAGAATTCATGTTCATTAGGAACCCTAACTACTAATTTAGGTAACTATTAGTATTATTAACATGCTGGGAAAAACATTTCTAGGTCTATAAAATTGATAGTAAGCCTTAAAATATCATGTACACCTCATTTATTAGTTTATACCTGGGAGCCAGCAGCCACTTTCAACAAGAAAGGAGTAGGATCTACCACTATGCCCCATGCACTTTCACATTATCTCATTTAATCATCACAAAAAGGGAGTGGAATAATGATCTTTGAGATAGGAGATCTAAGGGTCAGAAGTTCAATTAAGTTGCTGGAGTCTCAGAACTTCCAAGTCAAAATTTTCAGTGCATGCAAAGGGCTCGTTAAGATAGACTAGATGGGCTACACCCTCACTTTCCAACTCAATGGGTCTGCGGTATAGACTAAAATTGTTTTTATAAACTAGTCCTCAGATGACGGCCCAGGGACCAAACTTTTGGGTCACTTTTCTAAGTGGTGAAACTGGAATTCAAACCAGGCAGGCAGTTTTCTAAATGTCCTTGCTTATAGCCTTTTCTACCCATCATACCTGCCTACAGCACAGTCCTCATGTCCCTCCTCTGCTGAAAAACCTCGCAGGGATCTTATGACAATAAGTACTGACTCAATTCCAAACACTTAAGTAAGGCGTTCCAATCATTTCATAATCAAACTGCACAAATGCCTACTAAAATATTACCTGTAGCCCCAGCTTCGGGGCCATCTAACTACCTCGTGTCCTTTACAGTCCATGCCTCCTAACATTACTATCTATATGCAGCGTATAAAGTGACTAGATTTTGAGTTCTCTCCCATTTAGACTGTCTCATCTCCTTATAGTCCCCAGAAAAGTTAACACATGATGGAGGAAAATCCTAACCTCCCTTCCCTGGAGCTTTATTTTTTAATCTCAAAGCATTTTGAACAGTTCTCCATCATAATAGTGATCCTCTTTTTAAAAACTTGCTTCTTTATCAGTCTTCCTTGCTAGACTGCCAGTTTGGCAAGGACATGAACTGGCAATCTTATTGTTAAAACCCTCAGAGACTAGCAGAGCCTGCAATTTAGAAAGAGTTCATTTGTTTAATTAACACAATGGCAGACACACTATATTCTGATCCACAAAAAAAGGGACACTCACCTCCGCACAGCAAGGCCTCCTAGGAGTTTGTAACGCAGAGACTCTGCCTGGGCAATGGCACACAGACCTCTTGTGGCTACCTTTTCAGCATAAAGCTTTAAGAAAGAAGCAAGGTTATCTTTTTAACGCATTACCTTCACCATTATTTTCTATTAAAATTCAGTATTCGCCATACAAGCATATCATTTGTATATATATCACTGTAGTATCCCTAACTACTAAAGCACTTCCACTCACACCCAGCACACTTGGTGACATGGGCTTAGTCATTCCTCCCATCCCCTAGCTCTTCCTACAGCCACACCAAGGAGGCTAATGGGGCAGCCAATCCAACATATGTATCTTTACTATACCCAAGATGAATGTAAAATCCCTTAACCACCAGAAATGAGCAATATTTACTGATCATGAATGAACAAAGTCTTCACTGTGATGGTAAGTTTTTAGGAGTACCACCCTAAGGAGCCAGTTTTAGGTTCACAGTAATCTCTGGCATAACCCAAGATCACTCACCTCTACACTGCCCTCAGGGAAGCCAAACCTCTTCTGAACCACAGCAGTCAATTCTCGGATCCTCCGGCCCTTCTCACCAAGAACATTCTGTGTCCTGGGGAAAATAAGTGACAATTCACAGCTCTCACGATATCCCAGACGTAACTTCAAATCTTGCATGTAATAGTAAAATCTAGTCCATGACACAAGCAAGTATAAAGTTTAGATAACAAATACTAGAGTTAGATTTAAAAACGAAATAAATAAATAATTCATTCCCTAAGGCCAAATTCATTTCATCGGTTGTCCTCTTGAGTTTACAGAATAAAGGATGTTAGAATATGTAACAACTGTAGGTGACTGCCAGGAAAATGAGTTTTTACCTGGTTGCCAAGATAATGATTTCTGTCCTGGTTGGTGTAACTCGGACCTCAACTCCAGAGTAGCCATCTTCAGCCAGCTCCCGGGTGAGAAACTCGTTCAGTTCAGCTTTGAAGATGCCATCAGCAACAAACTAACCAAAAAGTAAAATTCAAATAAGGATGTGGGTAGGCTCACTTTTTCCTTCAGCCAATGCAATGCAACCCTTATCAAAATCTGACACCTCCAATAAATGCCCTATCATCATATTACCCTTATTCCAACAGGAATGTAACAACCCTTCTCAGACAAATGCCTCTAGGTCATCTTTTGGAAGTTACTTTAACCCAGGGCCCTTAAAACTGTGTCACAGAACGCAACACAGTACAGGGACACCTGGACAAAGATAACACTTCCAGTCAGACTCGTCATCTTCTCTTCATTGAAGGGTTAAGGCTGTCTTTATATGTACACACATTAAATGAAAAACTGTTTCAAAATGGCACAACTCATTCATTCAGCACAGCAGAGATGCCACGCAAATGTAAGCACACTTGCATTGTAGACACAACTTTGATCATTAAAAGAATCCCAGGTATGTTTATCTTGCCTTACTTGATGTACCTATCTTACAAAGCTGGCAAATCCGAACTCACGGAAGCGTGTGAATTTAATTTTAACATGGATGTATGTATACAAAAAATGACTAATTGATTATTTCTAAAGTAAATGGACTTTAGACTTCTCTCTTGTGGAAAGGCGAAAAGTTAAACTCGAGGAAGCGTTCTTCCCAGGTCCTCTACCTCCATTAGCCCATGGCTTTTCCTTGGGCCCTAGATGGAGCAAGAAATTATCAGCAGCCTTTCCAGTTAAGGTCTTTGCAGTCAGAAGCCTGCAGCCAGACACGGCTAGTAAGAAGGCAAGAATACACTGCTACCTCCTCTTCCCAAAGCCATGCTGTTAAGACGTGAAGGGAATAGCTCATGCCCTCAAAATACCACACGTTTACTAATTTAATATTTGTTGCCAAGAAATGCTCACAAGCACCTTGTCTGGGGGAGGTGAGGTGCCCGGTGCTTCTTCTCTGCTTTCCGCCCGGAACCGGCAGAAACCGTCTCACCCTTCCTCCGCCACACTGTGCTCCGCCGGCTCGGGCCCCACACTCAATCCACCTCCATCCGCGGCCCGCGAGAATGCCTCGCAGCCCAAGCCACTTCCTGGGGCAGGGCACAGAGCTGCAGATCTCGCAACGGCACCTCAAGAAGCCCCTGACCCTCGCGGCGCTACAATCCCCTGGACTCGGGTCCCAATGTCTCACCTTCCTCTTCTTGGAAATTTGCACCGCCATCTTACCGTCGCGAGCTGCTGAAAGAAAAGGAAGTGGCTCGTGGGCGGAAGTGGGTATAAAGGGCGCAGAATGACGACAAAAATGGCGGCGTCGACACCTGTGAGGCCTCATGGGAAATGTAGTTTTTACTTTCGGAAAGCGGTCAGGGAAAGGGAAGAGTAATGAAGGCACCTATAAGCAGAAACGGCCACAGCAGATCAATCAGAATTTCGGAACTGCAGCGGAACTTAGAGTACAATTCTCATTACTGTAATTTAAAAATTAACAGCGTGAGGCACAGAGATGAAAATTACAAGTAGAAATTCGTAGAGCAACGGAATTTATCAAGCATGGAACCCTACTCTTTATACAGTAATGAAAATTGACTGAAAGTCCTGAGTGAAATTAATTTAGGCACCCAGCTCTTCCAATCTGTTTTTATTTCCTCCGTTCCAAGTGATAATAATAATATCCAATATTTATTAAGCATGCTAGGGACTGATCTATGTCCTTTATATTATTAACTTGTTTACCCCCTAACTCACTTTATTGAAGTCTGTTGCAACTTGTAACAGAAGTAAAAAAGTAGTAGCATATGGGCTCACAATTCTTTTTCAATTAAAAATATTTTCCCTCACATTTTACCATAAACATTTTTAAACATTTTCAAGCGTACAGAAAAGTCGAAGGAAGTGTGCAGTGCACACACATAGATGCATCACCTAAGGGCTGCAATGAATACTTTTGCTTTATTTGCCTTATCATATATCTATCCATCCCTCTGTCTACCTACCAATGCATCTTTTGATGCATTTCAAAGTAAGTTGCAGACATCAGTACACTTCACTCCTAAACACTTCAACAGTTTTAAGTTTGGATAGTTTGCCTGCATTTCAAAATCAGGAGATATCTCTATAAAGTTATTTTAGGTTTTTCTTAAAAATATAGAAAGATTTAGCAAAATACCAGGCCCATGTTTCTTCATGACAATGCTTTCCTTCCTTGTTAGATAGCAAAAGGTTTCGTCATGTGTCACAGTCCCTGGCAGCTTCATTCATTTCTTGTCTGGTCCTAGAAGCCATTTGAGCTTTCCCCAGCTGTAAAACAACTCTTATACAAAGATCTGTCCTATAATCATGCAATTAACAGAGTTTGGGGGCGAGCTGAGCAGAGGGACCAGGGAAGATGAAAAGAAATGGATGAACCAAAGATACAGTCTATGGATCTGATGTATCTTGATGATGGATTGAGATTGAAGCAGGGGAATTGAGAATGCAACCCACTTTCTAACTCTAGTGTTAGGTGCTTAGCAACAACCCTCACTGAGATGAGGAACCCAGGGACAGGTTTTTTCTTCATGTGTCATCTCCCTCTGCTCTTTACTATACTCTTTAGCCAGCTCTACAGCCTTTAATTCAGTGGTGCTCGGCTGCTAAAATCTTGACCTGGATTAATCTACCTACCTGACTTTACTATGCCCTCACTTGGGATGTGGGCACTGTGGGAGAGCATCCAGCCTTGCATGCTGGGGCCAAAATATTTCTTAATTCACCTATGCCCCCTCATTCTCCCACGGTGCCTATTATAATCTTTGTCAAATCAGAATCCCCTTCTCACTATCAGCAGTCAACTTGCCTTCTAACCTATTGCCCCCCAAATAGATTGTACAGGCAAGAACTGCCTCTCATATAGGAGTATAATTGTATGTGTCCTTATCCATTCTTCCCTTCTTTCCTCCCTGCTCAGGAAAGAGACCCACTTTTTGACCAAGGTCAGCCTCCCCTGTGTGTTCTAATTCAAGTTAAATTCCGTTCCTTTGAGACCTTGTTCCACCAATCATGCCTTCCCTTTCCTGTGATATTCTTCCTTTATTAACTCTTTCTTTCACCACCCTTCATGTTAAATATGTCACTTCTTCCAAGGTTGTAACCATCCTGGTTGCTTCTAGCTATAAACAATTTTTTTTAAAAATGTTTTTTTTACCATTTTTGTGTCATTGCTTAGGGACTCACATTTCATATACCCCTACTCACAATAAAAATAAGATTCAGTGTATGAAAGAGTTTGAGAAAACAAGCCTCCTTGTACTGCAGGTGGGGTGTGAATTGGGCTTCTTTTTGGAGAGCAGCTTGATGGTACTAACCATAATTTAAGATCTAGATTCCCTCTGGCTTGGCAAATACATTCCTTTTTATCTACTCCAGAAAAACATCTACACAAATATACATGGAGGTAAATGCAAGAATGCTTATTATAACCCTATTAGTAATAGTGACAAAATAAATTAAGACCATCCCCAAGGCCTTTCAGTGGGGAAGTGTTTATGGATTATTGTGTAGTGATTGAAAAAGAATGAGGTGGCTGTATGTTCACATATGAAAAGAATACCAAGAAATATTGTTGCAGGAAAAAAACAAATTATAGAACAATATGAACTATATAATATTGATGTAAAATAAAATAAAACACTATGCATGCAAATGTATTGAAGAATCTATACCCAACTATTAGATAGCTAAGCTTACTTCTGGGATGGAGCAGTACTTGCAGAAGTTAAGAGGCAGTTTATTTTATTGCTCACTTTTCTTATAATAAAAATATACTCATGTATTACTTATGAAATTGAAAATGAATAAAAAAGGAAAAACATACATATATGGATTTCTGATCATATGGCTACTTGTGAAACAGTGCAAATGGCCCAGCCTCAAACACCAAATCCTATAATCCTTTCTTCTGAAAGCTCGAGGTAAGAAAAAGTTTATTCCTTTAATCAGACTATAAATCTCTACTGTCTGATACAGTAGCTACTGGCCTCACTGGGCTGCTGAGTACTTGAAATGTGGCTGGCCTGAGTGGAAAACAGCTCTATGTATAAAATACAATCCAGATTTCAAAGTATTAAAAAAAAGAATATATCAATAATTTTTATATCGATTACATGTTAAAGCAATAACAAAACAATAACATTTGAGAAGTACTGAGTTAAATAAAATAGGCTATTAAGTTCATCTGTTTTATTTTGCTTTTTTTTTTTTTCCATGTGGCTACCAGAAAATTTAGAACTACATATGTGGCTTATATTTCTGTTGGGCAGTGCTACTGTAATCTTTCGACCACAGAAATCAATAGTGTTTTATTTTTCTTTATTTCCATGAGATTTGGCACAGTGATTGGCAGAGAGAGGGCACTTAGTTACTGTTTACAGGCTTATTGAACAAAAGAAAGTAACCAGGAGTATTACCAATCTTGCTTCCTGTTTGCCTGAGGCCCTGGGAAACTCAGCTAAGTTTCTTGTTCAGTTGAGTTCCTGAGACCCAACCCTGGCTCAGATCAGCTCTCCATGGGTGGAGGAGGCTTATCCTGTAGAATTTAGGATTGTTTCTAGAGCCCTAAAGACAGGAAAGTGAGAGCATCACAGCCCCATCTTCCACATACACCCTTTCTCCTCTATAAACTGAGGCCCAAGTGGTCCAGTGGACGAGTAGAGGTAAACTCAGTGAGAACAACCATTTAAACTTGTTTACATTTTTCTAAACAAACTGCCTGTGTGGCCACTGGATCCACACAACAGCTGGGTATGGATTTAAATCCCTGCGTTTGGGGCCAGACAAAATCTCTTTCAGATTGAATGATGCTTTGGTGAAACTCTAGGTTTTTTCACTCAGCAAAACTTTTCAAAGCGTCTGTTCAGGGTAGCATAGTGTTTAGAGTCACAGAGTTGATACGACAGCCTGGGTCCACATCCCTGGTCTGGTTGTTTGCTAGCTACGTGACCTTGGTTATCTCTGCATAAGTTTTCTCATGTAAAATGGGCTGAAAATAATAATAAACCCACCCCATGGGATGACCGAGATTAAATGAATTAATACAGGCAGAGTGCTTAGCATATAGTAAAACATCTAGAACATAGTAAGTGCTCAATTGGCATTCATTTTATTGCTTGGATCCACTGCCTATGCTATGTCGTGGGGACACTGATGAATTTGATTCATCTCCTGCCCTCAGGAGCTCATAGCTGGGGGTGAGGGATTGGGACACAGATAAGTAAGTGTGATAAGTACCCTGTCATGACAGGGACAACAGAGCACTGAGAAGAGCAAGGTATTGGAAAAGATGTCACAGAGCTCCAACCCTTGAGCTGAGGCTCACAAGACACTCAGGCGTTTGCCAGACTAGCTGACATATCAGGCAGAATGAATGCGCTGAACGCTTTAGGAACAAAAGAAGGAATCTCCTCCTTGAATTATAAAGATAGTTTTTTCTTCTGATTCAAAAAATAAACTACGTTAATAAAAAATGTTGAAAAGGATAAAGAAGCAAGTAAGAACAACAGTATTCTGGTTAAGCCATGTAAACATTTTGGGGTACATGCTTCCAGATTCCTTCTGAGGCAGCGAGATGCACTGTGAAGAACGTGTGCACCTGCAATGTCTCCCAAGTGGGGTCACCACAATGCACGGGTGCCATGAAGGATGCTGGTGTCATACCAGGAGGGTGCCAAGACAGTGGACAGCTTGGTCAGAGGTGGGACAGTGGGAAAATATAGAGCCAGCTCAATTTGTCTCATATCCCACTTACAAACTTTGTGATCTCAGGCAAGTCACTTAACCTTTCTGAGCTCAGATTCTTCATCTGAGAAGTGGAGAAACTGTCATTAACCTGGATGAAAAAGGGGTGCTATGATCAATTATAAATTCCTAACTGGGCAGATCATGGCGGATAGTCACACCCCAGGCCTGTAACTCCTTTAGTGAAAGGTTTTAAGCCAGACCTGTCCATTGCTCTTGTGCAGCAAAGTTAACACACCTTTGAAATGCCAGAAGTAATACCTCTTGATGATGAACCTCCTTCAAGAGAGCACATGATTTTGTTAATTTTTCTGTAATCCTAACCCCACTTTGCTTTCTCCCACCTTCATGTAATCTTATTTAAATTCCCTCCCTCATTCCAAAAACATAAAAGAGACTGCAAACTGTTATTCTCCAGAGCATTTTAGATCTTGCTTCCTGGCAATTGTCATTTGGGGCTCAAATAAACTCATAAAAATTCTCTACAGGTTTGGACATTTCTTACATTAACAACTTCAT